TAGTGATTCAGAAAGTGATACTAATATAGATAATCTTTTAGGACAACTCAACCAAGAAATAGGATTAACACCTTCCCAAGAAACTTTCTTTATGATGGAGTGTAATCCAGATACTGAATGTCAGCATAACTTTCAAATAGGATTAGGATTTGATACCACTAGATGCAGCTATTGTAATTGGTTTCCAGCTAAAGATAAACGAGTTCAATGTTTATTATGCAGCATAACTTATTGTGTAGTCTGTCTAGAAAAATTAAATATGACATATAAGATAACATTAGGAAATACTAAAGAAGATCATAGTCTAGAAAGCAGAGAATTGCATTTAACCATTAGAGAATTAGAACTACAAGTAAGAGAACTTAAGATACAAATACACGAGATAGAAACTAAGACTAGTTTTGATATAGAATATTTAGAATCAGAAAATAGACAGCTTAAACAGCAGCTAGAACAATTTCACAATAAATACCCTTTAAAAGACAAACTAATTGAAGAGCGTATGAATTCATTAGAATTAGTTAACCTAGTTGATTCTCAACCCTTTAGTCAATACTCTAAAGCCCAACCAGATACTACATCCTTACCATTTAATTATCCGGTTATACCTAAACCAAATCTAGTCGAGATTTCTTGTGTACTCAAATTTGCAGCAAAAACCCTTAGTATAGATGCCATGATAGATACAAGAGCTAGTAAATCATATATTGAACAACAAGTAGTTCCCCCAGGATGGAGCACGACATTAACAACCCCAACCTTAGTTAGTATAGCAGACGGCACTAAACAGATATACACACATTGCATTAATGGAGCCCAAATTAGTTTTCATCATATAGGTTCTCAAGATCAGCATATAGAGTGGTTCCCTTTACCTCAGGTTTGGATTGGAAATACCCGACAGAATCACCCTTTCATTTTAGGACTTAATTTCATCCTCAGCTTACAAGGTGGCATGTTACTCAGCCAAAACAACATTAGTTTCTTCAAACGAACTATCCATACCCCAACGTCTTATGCCCTTAGCACCATAGCCCATTCATCAGAGTTGCGTGCGAAGCGTGGTGGTACCATAGGAGTAGATTCCGTTCCAGCTAGTTTTTTATTCCCAAGTAGAAATATTTTTTCCGACCTAGCCCAAAAATATATACCTAATGAGATAGCAAAGACGTCTTTAGACAACTTAGATACAGAAAATTATGATTTAGAAGAATTTGATTTTAAGGAAGATTATTGGAACTTAGAAGATTTTAAGCAACCAGCTAATTTAGAATTAATTTTTGCAAAAATAGGACAAATAAAGAAAAAACCAATATATAGGAGAACCGAAAATGATTTAGATGAGATAATAAGATTAGCTGAAACAACAGAAATTTTAGGAGAACAGGCCATGAAATATTGGGAAAGAAATAAAATTTTAGCTAGTCTAGATATAAAAAACAAAGATTATAGGATTACCTCAGCACAAATAGATCATACACCAGCAGACATAGAAGAATTTAGAACACAGATTAAGGAATTACTAGATCTAAGAGTAATTAGACCCAGCAATAGCCCGCACAGAAGTGCAGCATTTATGGTTAGAAATCATGCAGAAATAAAAAGAGGAAAAGCTAGAATGGTGATAAATTATAAAAGATTAAATGATAATACAGAAGATGATAAATATAATATACCAGATAAAGACCAACTCATAAATAGAATACAGACAGCAAAAATATTTAGTAAATTTGATTGTAAATCAGGATTTTGGCAGATAAAAATGGAAAAGGAAAGCATACCATGGACAGCCTTCTGTTGCCCTCAAGGACATTATGAGTGGCTAGTTATGCCCTTTGGATTAAAAAATGCACCTTCCATATTTCAGCGTAAAATGGATAGTATATTTAATAAATATAGTTTTATACTGGTATATATAGATGACATATTAGTGTTCAGTCCAGATAAAAGTAGTCACATAGATCATTTGTATATAACATTAGAAGAATTCATAAATAATGGAATAATAATCAGTAAGAAAAAGATGGTATTAAATAAACCCTACATAAAATTTTTAGGAATGGAGCTAGGAGATGGAAAAATTAGGTTACAACCTCATATAGTCAAGAAAATTCTAGACTATACAGATAAATTAGAAGATACAAAACAATTTCAATCCTTTTTAGGAATTTTAAATTATGCACGAATGTATATTCCTAACCTCAGTAAAATAATAGGACCCCTTTATAGTAAGACCACACCTACTAGACAGAAATACTTCAATCAGCAAGATATAGCTCTAGTTAGAAAAATAAAAGACATTTGTAAAAACCTACCAGACCTACAGCTTCCCCTAGAATCTGAATACATAGTTGTAGAAACAGACGCAAGTCAATTGGGATGGGGAACAATATTATTAGCTAAACCCAGTAAATATGACAGTAAAACTAAAGAACGCATTTGTAGATACAGTTCTGGAAAATTTAAAGAAAAAGATACAACTATGACCAGCCTAGATTTTGAAATACTAGGAGTAGTATATGCAATAAATAAATTCAGATTATTTTTGCACAAACCTTTTACAATAAGGACAGATTGTGAAGCCATAGTCAGATTTCATAACAAACTAAACGAGCGTAAATTAAGTACTAGAAGATGGGCAAAATTTTTAGATTGTATAGTAGGACAAGGATATAAAGTAGAATTTGAGCATATTAAAGGAAGCGATAATAAATTAACGGATTGGTTAAGTAGAAAAATTTATTTAGAAAGAGAAGATAACCAGTTTAATTTTTGTGCAGATAATGGAGAACAGCAAGACCATGAAATTTGGGGGATTTTCTCTTCCCATTCATGAAGGCAGAACCAAGTTCAGACCCTTAACAGGGATTGAGCTAGACCCAGTTCAACAGTGTCTTTTAGATAACCTTTGGACCAGCCAAAACCACCCCGCTAAGCGCCTTTCAGCCCTAAACTCTCTCAGTATATATTTTTCAAAGATCCAAAACAAGCCCTTGTCTAAAAGTTTTTCTTTCTATGTAGTAGCTAAAGGAACCAAGCCTGGTATTTACCATGATTGGGTAGAAGTAGAACCTTTAGTCAAAAATTTTCCACACCTCAGTTTAAAGGGTTTTATGATTTTGAGTCAGCCAGTACCTATGCCCGAAGACAAATTGGAACCAGTTACTTTATTAGCCAGATAGCTAAAGATTACCTGGACACATTGAGCAAGATGAGAACTACCATCCTTGCTAACAGTGGCGTTCCAGTTAGCCAGACAAGTGGAAGCAGTAGTACAAGCAGCAGTAGTTCTAATCCTCAGACAGATTCCCAGAATCCTCTCCAAATGTGCAGACATTGTGATGACCTTTCCAGAAATTTCAAGAAAATTATGGATAAAGGCAAGAAGGTCAGTGAAGAGCTAGACCAGCTCCGAGACGAAGAAAAACAATTGAGAGCAACTATTAGAACCTTAACCATCCAGCTTAAAAAATTAGCTCCAGAAAGAACACCTACCTCCTTACCTAGCCCAGAAATCAAACAACTCACCAGTGAGGAATTTGACCAATTGAGTGCTAGAATGTATTTCTTCAGGCATTCTATCATTCGATCCCTTTGTGAGAAAAGCCAAGAAATAGAAGACCTAAAACCCTATATTTATACCTTAGCTGGAGATAGCAGAAACGACGAGTTAGTCATTATTCAGCAGTTTCTTCAAGATCTCTCCATAGCAAGAGTTGACTGCCCAGGCCTAGCTTACCAATGGACCTATACCTATGAAGATGAAGAGCAACCCTGCATAGATGAAGAAAGATGCAATAAGAGGTCAGAACATTTTGGTAGATGTCAGTGCAACCTAGACTTCAGCATTTGCCTTTGCCAGATAAATTTATCTACATTCGAGCCGCTGGAGATAGAAATTAGGGGCGAAACTCGTTATCTAACAGCTCCAAAATTGTTAGATTACGGCTTTGTCTCTAGACTAATTTTCACAGATCCAGATCAGACAGATAACTTCGGACACAAGCTTGCTTATGCAGTACTGTGCGTAATGGAAGAACATCATCCGTATGTGGAAGCTTTAATAGATAGCAAACTACCAGAGTGGAAGGAAATATGGTGCAATCCAGCTAAACACAAAATGTACCTCAGAGGAACTTCCACATTTCCGGGATACCCAGGACTTCTTAATAGGAGACCCTGGCCATGCAGAAGATTTTCACTCAAAGACCAGCTCAATAAATGGAGAAAATTTGCTAGAAACTCTCTCTTAGCCTATAATGGAAATTATGGACATCTAGTCTGTGAAGATAGACATCAAAAGATACATTGTAATTTAGCCATCCCAGGATATCCATTCAGCAAAGAGACATTTGTCGATGAAAGTCAGTACCCGAACTACCAGCATGACGTCTCTCATGAATCACCAGTGATGGGAGAAAATGATCAAGAATGGGACGATGAACCACCCATGGGAGATGGGGATGACTTTTACGACCAACTCTCAACAGCAGATCTTGACGACCTAGCAGATAGAATGTATGGGTAAAAAAAAAAAAAAAAAAAAGGGGGTCCCACTACAAGACTCCATTAATCTTGTAATATTTCTACGTGACTCTTCCAATCTTGCATAACATTCAAGAATCCGCCTACAAACATCACTCCATGGGTCAGCATCAATAATTGGCTCTCCGTCAGAAGAAGACAAAAACCATAGAAGATAGAGATTTTCCTCAGATATCAGAAAAAATGCACGCCAAGAAAAGACAAAAAAGATTTTTGTAGATATTTTGTGAGTCTGTCAGTAATAAAGATTTTCCTTCAATCACTACTTTAATTTTGATGTGATGTGTTAGAGAGGTGATGTGATTTAAATAAGATGATGTGACTTAAATAGGATAGTGACTTTTTAACTTTTTGTATTATTTAGGTCATGCCAAACTTTATTATTTTTTTATTTATGCGGACCGCCGTGTCTTCGTTAAAAATCAAAAAAAAAAAGAAAAAAAGAAAAAGAATAGAAAAGAAAAGAAAAGAAAAGAAAAGCCTTCTTCATTTCTCTCCCTTCAAACAAACCCGTCTCTCCGATCATCAAAACTTTTTTTTGGGTAGAGGTGTGAATTGTTGGAAAAGGACAATAATAATAATTTAGTAGGGTTTGGGTTGAGCGGCGATGGAGTCAGAGGATGACATGCACGATGCGAATGATGCGGAGTCCCTCGACGATGACTTCTACAGCGGCGAGACCGCCTTGGACTCTGACGACGCCGATTACGACTTCATTGACAACGATTCCGATGATTCCGACGACCTCCTCTCTCTGCTCCACCAGGTACAGTACCTCTTCTTCGATCCTCCCCAATTTCCATCTCATTCAATCGACAAGCGCTGTTTTCATAGTTTTCTTTTTTTTAGGTCCAAAAATGACACCTTGCTTCTTCATTAGATGCTTATGATTATGACATAGAAATTGTATTTGGATGTCCATTGAGATCGTCTCATATTGGTTTTGACTCTGTTGATGTCGATCTGATTTGTTAGTGCGCGGTTAGTTTGTTTGTGAATAATAAGGACATTTCTCGATTAGTTTGATCGCCTTGATTCTAATTTAATTTGTTCTAGCTAAGCTCTCTCTCATGTTAGATTTGAAAATTGGTGATCGTATTTGTATGTAAAGTTTATTTATTTGAAAAAACTGAAGTTAGTTATAAGGATCTATGTAATGAATATGCATTTATTACAAGTCGCAAAATATATTATTATTATTATTATTATTATTATTATTATTAAACACATTATTATTACAAACTGTGTCTGGCTTCTTGTTTCTTTCAGCAAAGCTATACCATCTTAAGTGAAGCTGATATTCATCAACGGCAAGAGGAAAATATTATGAAGATATCTACAGTGCTTTCTATTTCAGGGGTCGCTGCTAGCATCCTGCTCCACCACTATAATTGGTAACTTCATCACGTGGATATATATGGTGTTTCCGGTTGTCAAGTTTTTATTTTGAGTTCACAGATTCGGTATCCTTTGTTTTAATTTACCTTTGAAGTTCACTTTTGCACCTTCTTTTTATTTGTACTTTGTTTTATACATTATATGTTTTTATGCATTTTGTTGATGTTCAAAGAATCCTTTTTCTCTTTGGACTCACAGGAGTGTTAGTAAAGTGCATGATGAATGGTTTGCAGATGAAGAAAAAGTCCGTAGGGCTGTTGGCTTGTTGGAGAAACCTGTTCCATTCCCAGATGTTAGAGAAGTAAGCATTCCACATCTCAGAAACTGAAGAGAGCTCCTTATGCTTATGCATGTCACTCAGTCATGTTGACAATTATGTAGTTTGATTACTCTCTACACCCATCTTATTTATTGATATCTTCGTTTGTGTGCTTATTTTGGTAGCTGACTTGTGGGATTTGCTTTGAAACCTATCCTCGTGATAGGATGAGTGCTGCTGCTTGTGGTCACGGTTTCTGCGGTTCATGCTGGCAAGGTTTGCTCCACTTCATGTTTATCATACTCCATTTATTTTTTTATTTTTTAACACTCGCAAAGCTATTTGGTTCCAATTTGTATTATGAACACCCTTTCCTTTGCCATATAGTTAAAAAGCAAACCATTTTGAAACCACCTGCAGTTTTTTCTTCCTGGCATCACTGTTAATAACCTAATATCATTTTTTAAACAGAGTCACTTTATTTAGCCTAATCCAGATTTAAGTGTCAATATGCTGATTTCTAGTCCTACCAAAGCTGGCCAAAGATTTATTCTTTCTTGGGGCATTGATTGTCTCAATCATAATAATGATTTGGCACCTTTTTGGCATCCTACTTGTGCTGGCTACTATAGCTTAGAAGCAATAAGGCTAGAGCAAAAGAAAAGTTATGATGGTGTGGATCTAGCGAACTCTTGCCCCATGAATTTCAGATGTTTGGAGTTTGCAAGAATGGCAAATTGTCTATTTGTATTTGTGGGTGTAGGCATGTTCATAGCTAATGGGTAATACATGTAGGATGTTCAGTGAGGAACCTGAATTTTTGTAGGAGCTGAATAGCCCATTGAGAGAGAGAGGGAGGGAGAGAGAGAAGTTGGCCCAAGGGCAAGGTGGCTATCACCCCTCACAAGGGAACGTGTGCCCTTGTGTGTGGGCCCCACACTTCTAGTCGGGTTCAACTCTGATACCATTTATCATGACGAAGCTTTTATAGCTGAAATTTCTCTAAAGTGCTAGAGCCTGGAGCTATAAATTTTGAAGATGGGGGCAATAAGATGGATATCCAATGGGTTGGAAGAATGGAGGAATGAAATTTCGATGCTTTCAGGGCTTTAGCAGCATAGGAATTCAATGGGTGATAGTTGTTTAATACTTGTCTGTTCCAATATTCTCATTCTTGCCCTTTTCCTGAACATCTTGAATGAAGGAGTACATGAGAGTTTTTTCTTGCCCTTTTCCTGCTATTGCTTTCTTTTTATTGTTTCTTTAATTATTTTTTGTTTTATTGGTTTATCTATTTTTTTTCTGATCATCTGTGTGGCAACATATATTGCAATATGTACTGGTTTTTATCATTATTTCTTTTTTGGAATGAATATCCTCTTTTAGTTTTCAGTTCATGCTCAGTTTTCATGTATTTTTTATTTTCTTGGTTGCAGGTTATATTAGCACTGCCATTAATGATGGTCCAGGATGTTTGATGCTACGATGTCCTGATCCATCTTGTCGTGCTGCTGTCGGTCAAGACATGATTAATCTATTGGCTTTTGCGGATGACAAAGAGAAGTATAACCGTTACTTTCTCAGATCATTTATTGAAGACAATAGGAAGGTAATTTGATATGAAGCTCTGCACAGAACAAATTTTTATACAAGTAACAACTTAAATTCATTAGAAGGCACCAAAAATGGGAGTGCGACCTGTGCACATGGTGTATACAGTTGAATACTGCCTATTTGGTTGTATTTTCATTTTATGTTTTATGTTTTATGTTTTCATTTTCCGGAAAACATATGTATTTGGCTAACTATTTAAAAAAAAATAAAATAAAATCAGAAAACAACTCACTTTTTAAGAAACACCAAAAAGTGGTTTTTGAATTTCAAAAATTGTTCACACACAACAATGAAAATGATGGTTGTTTTTGTTTCCAAATACATAAAAACAAAAGCAAATAAAACGAAAACACAACCAAACATGTATATACTCCAATAAATTCTCTATACCTGCAAGACTACAAGGACATACAAATACCCCATAGAGTCAAGAAAAGAGATAATTGAAAAAAAAGAAAAATCTCCTTAGCCAAAAATACATGGAAATTTAATCAAGCTCTCCACACCTTCAAAGTTCTTCTATTCTTCTCCCTCCAAATGCTGCGCATCAAACATAACAGAGCAACAACCTCTAATGATTTGCCTCAGAATAATGATTCGTGCTAAAATTTTTGTAGTTGCTTGTATCATAACCATCACTATTCACTGTAGAATAGTCATTTGGCAGCTTTGTCTTTAGTAGTGGCTGTAAAGTTACAAAATCATGAATCTTGTTACTGTATTTTCCATGCATTCTCTGCCTTCTAAATTTATATAATTTTCATGGTTTATTCTGTAGACCAAATGGTGTCCTGCTCCTGGCTGTGATTATGCTGTGGATTTTATTGTTGGTAGTGGAAGCTATGACGTTACTTGCCACTGTTCATACAGCTTTTGCTGGAATGTGTGTATGCTTTATTTGGTTTAAATTTTTTACACCCACACATTCACTCACCTGTGGGGCCTGTTTCCTTCCACTGGCCAGTGGCCACACACCCTTAATCAATGAACTATTTTGATTACACGACTTTGTGTTTCCAGTGTACGGAGGAAGCTCACCGTCCAGTTGATTGTGGTACTGTGGCTAAGTGGATTTTGAAGAATAGTGCCGAGTCTGAAAATATGAATTGGTATTGTATATGAATATGATCTCAGAATATTAAGTTACTATTTGTCGTTTTGTTTTATGATTTGGCTATTAAACTGATGGTGCAGAAAAACTTAACAAATCAGGAAAAGGCATATTTCTTTTTGATCGGCGTGAAAAGACCTTTATTTAGTCATGAGTGGTGTTTGTTTGAAAAATGCTCATAGTGGAACTGGACTTTGCAAAATCCAATGAATCAACCACTATTCTTGTTGTAGTGTAGTAAGCACTTTTAATTTATAGGGTGAACCTATCGCGGGGCAATTTTTGTGTTTACCGAAATGGCCATATGTGATCCATGACGAAATCTAATCAACGGACAGTTTTTTAATGGACATTTTGTCCTCCTTTGGTCCTTTTGTACTTTTGTTTTAATCTTTATTACTAATATAATTTATTTTTTGCTCATCAAAAAAATAAACCCACATTATTTTGTTTTTAATTATTGGCTCAAGTTATTTTCTTCAACCTTGTGAGGTGTTTTATACATGTCTAAGGTTGGGACAAGTGTCTTTGAGTATTTGAAGCATCTTACTCTAAAACATTAAAATAATAACATGACAGGTGTGGACGCATGTTTCACACATATTAGGGTGTCGTTGACAAGTGTTGGTGTACGACACAAACACGACACCTTAGAAATGTTTGGTAGTGTTTGGTTTAATTCTTAAATTAACTTTTGGATTGAAAAATCAAAAAATATGTTTGGTTCACCATTTTTGAAAATTGTTTTTTCTCTCTTCTCTCTCTCTCTCTCTCTCTCTCTCTCTCTCTCTTTACACATCAATCAGTCACTTTTTATCTCTTCTCTCTCCTCTCTTATTCTCTCACATTCTACACATCAATCAATCAATTTTTCTCTCACACCTATCTATTCAACTAAAAAAAAAAAAAAAAAAAAAATCTACAAATCATTCCAAAATTATTTTCAAAACTCATAACCAAACAAGTTTTCAATTTTCAAAACTCTTTTCAACACTTGTCTATGAAAATACAACTTAAAACTCAAAACTCTTTTTAAAAACTAAACAAAACGGACCCATTTGTGTTTCTTAGCTAAAAGTGCATTGATTGCATTCCTCTGATTTGCTGGATGCTGGTTAGTGGTCAATGCCCCTTTCATGCTAGAATGATTTCCCTGAATGAAGCTTAAGAAATGTCGTTGATGGCTGTTAGGGTGTGACTGACCAGTGTTGGTGTACAAACTGGACACAAAACCTTCTTAGAAATGTTTGTGCTTCTTAGCTAAGAAGTGTGTTGATTGCATTCCTCTAATATGCTGGACGTTGGTTATTTGTCAGTGTTCCTCTAAGCTACAAGTTCAAAATTTTCTAGATACTTGCACTTTAAAAAATTAATTTATATAATTATGTCATACTAAATTATGTTACTGTGGCAACATTTCAGGATATTGGCTAATTCCAAGCCTTGTCCTAAGTGCAAGCGGCCGATTGAGAAGAACCATGGTTGTATGCATATCACATGCACGCCACCTTGCAAATTTGAGTTTTGTTGGTAAGCTATTTTAAATAGACAGCACGCATCCATTTTGTAGTTTTTAGTGTTGGTATTACTGTTTGTAGAAGCTTTTCTGTCCCATGAACTCCTGGATACTAAGGTTCCATTCAGTTGTCTGGAATACTATTCGTGAAAATGTTTTGTGGGAAAAATGAATTGAAGGAAAGAAAAAGAAATACAAATGATTTACCTTTCCTTTTATCATTCAACTGAAAAGAAAGTATATGTACAAAAACAATTTGAACTTTCCTAAAATGTGCAACACACATGCTGGATAGGAAAACAGTGTTTTAATTTCCTTTTACTTTCTTTCCTGTCAATTGAATGCAGCCAAAAGGAGAATGTTTTGTCAACATCATTCCAATTTCCTGTCCTCTCTATAGAAACTCTCTCTTGTAGACTTTTTTATAGCTGTTCTTCTTAGGCCATGACATTTGATGATATTCTTTCAGGCTCTGCCTTGGTCCATGGTTAGATCATGGTGAGAGAACAGGTGGCTTCTACGCGTGCAATCGTTATGAGACAGCAAAGCAAGATGGAGTGGTAACATAATATAGTTTGTTGCATTGGTCTGACTTGTGCAAGTTTTACACCAATGGCACTAATCTAATATAGGTGGAACTGTAATGGAATAAATTTTCTGTATATATTTAATATATTTTGTTGCTTGCAGTATGATGAAACTGAGAAACGAAGAGAGATGGCTAAAAACTCTTTAGAAAGATATACCCATTACTATGAAAGATGGGCTACTAACCAATCGGTAAATAGAGAGTGTTAACTCATGACTTTTTGTATCTTGTTTTACTGAATTTTAAGGAAATTGTGTAAAATGGTGTTTGATGAATACTAATGTGGGGGGAAGATACCAGACTTGTAAATTGTTATTTTGTTTTCAAATAAATTCAAACAAGATTGAAAATTTGATTAAACGAATTAATGGCATTAATGGATGGGACATAGTTTTCAGCAACCTTATTTGTCACCATCAACTCCGCATTGTACGATCTTCCGTTCGAAGAAACAATCTTGTATTTGTTGTAATTGTTGATCTGGATCTCATTGACAATGATACCTCTAGAGCTTATTGAGGGGTCCGACAAGACTCTGTAAACTGTCCCGACATAGATTCCGGTTAGTTTCTACAAGGGTCCGACAAGACTCTGTAAACTGTCCCGACATAGATTCCGGTTAGTTTCTACAAGGGTCCGACAAGACTCTGTAAACTGTCCCGACATAGATTCCGGTTAGTTTCTACAAGGGTCCGACAAGACTCTGTAAACTGTCCCGACATAGATTCCGGTTAGTTTCTACAAGGGTCCGACAAGACTCTGTAAACTGTCCCGACATAGATTCCGGTTAGTTTCTACAAGGGTCCGACAAGACTCTGTAAACTGTCCCGACATAGATTCCGGTTAGTTTCTACAAGGGTCCGACAAGACTCTGTAAACTGTCCCGACATAGATTCCGGTTAGTTTCTACAAGGGTCCGACAAGACTCTGTAAACTGTCCCGACATAGATTCCGGTTAGTTTCTACAAGGGTCCGACAAGACTCTGTAAACTGTCCCGACATAGATTCCGGTTAGTTTCTACAAGGGTCCGACAAGACTCTGTAAACTGTCCCGACATAGATTCCGGTTAGTTTCTACAAGGGTCCGACAAGACTCTGTAAACTGTCCCGACATAGATTCCGGTTAGTTTCTACAAGGGTCCGACAAGACTCTGTAAACTGTCCCGACATAGATTCCGGTTAGTTTCTACAAGGGTCCGACAAGACTCTGTAAACTGTCCCGACATAGATTCCGGTTAGTTTCTACAAGGGTCCGACAAGACTCTGTAAACTGTCCCGACATAGATTCCGGTTAGTTTCTACAAGGGTCCGACAAGACTCTGTAAACTGTCCCGACATAGATTCCGGTTAGTTTCTACAAGGGTCCGACAAGACTCTGTAAACTGTCCCGACATAGATTCCGGTTAGTTTCTACAAGGGTCCGACAAGACTCTGTAAACTGTCCCGACATAGATTCCGGTTAGTTTCTACAAGGGTCCGACAAGACTCTGTAAACTGTCCCGACATAGATTCCGGTTAGTTTCTACAAGGGTCCAGCAAGACTCCGTAAACTGTCACAACAACTGTCACCACATTGTCTACTACAACGGTCCGACATGACCCCATAAACTGTCTTCTACAACGTTATGACACCCCCATACAGTGTCTTCACCAATGGTCTGACACGACCATACAGTGTCTCCTATCCTCTTTTATTTTTTATGTATTTTCTTGTTTTGTTACTCTCTCCAAACTCAAGTTGGTTAGTTTCTATCCTCCTTGAGTTTGCGGGGGGCTGTAAAAATTTACCATCACCTACCACCAATTTACCATCACCTACCACCACCTACTCCTCACCTACTACACTTCACCTACTCCCCTTCACCTACTACCTTCTTCTCTTCTATATATATGAATCAATGTAAACATAACAAAATATCAATCATCAATACATCAATCAATAATATACATCAAATTCTACACATAGACACAAGTCCCACGCATGTCCGTGCATGGACTTATATCAAACATTGACAAGTAACACCTCCAATAAACATGTCCGACACTTGTTATGATTCTTATTTTTTTTATCTGATGGATTGATAATTTTCATGTGGTTGTTCTTATATTAGTTTTGACATCTTAGAATTTAATTTAGTATGGTTGCTTGACTTGTTCACTAATTTTTAAAATTGAATCCTTTTTTTCTTTTTCTTTTTTCTTTTTGCAGTCTAGGGAAAAAGCGCTTGCAGACCTGCAGCAGATGCAAACTGTGCATGTAAGAATTATTTTCTCATATGAGGCAGTTTTCTTCTGATTAGTGATACAGTACAATCTAACTATTTTTCCATCACTTAATCATGGATGATTTTGACTTTTGAAGGTGGGTTACAATTTTATGCTGATTGCTCATGTTCGGTGGTTGTCTATCATATGTCTGTTTCGTATTTTGTGTCCCCTTGATGGGGAGCAAGAAGGAATTGGATGAAGAAATATTAAAGATTAGAGATTTAATAATTAATTTTTGCAGCGTATTATATTTTGATTTATTGAGTTTTATTTTTTTTTTCTTTTAATTAGCTTTTCCTTGGATGCCTATAAATAATAGGCTTTTATGTAATAGGTTTTGGTAGACTATGAGACTGAATTGAGCTTTTGACATCGAGATCTAAGAATTAGGGGTTATTCGATTTGGCTGCTCCATTCTGGCCGGATGTCTGGCATCACCCCTCCACCTAGAGCATTGGAATTAAAATATGCATGCCTTCCTAAGACCATCTGTCTTCACCCTACATGTGGTGTGTCAAAAAGGGACCCTTTCTAGCCTCCTGAATTTTGTTACATGCAACTAGGCTTATATTGTAAATTTTGTTTTGATGTAGGATTAAGTTATTATGCTTGTCATGTTGTTACCTAAATGTGAGATTTTAATATTATTTGTTTGTGTATGGTTTTTAAAAAAGACATTTTAAAGTCAATTCCACCATTCATACCCTAAAAATGTGTTTCTGTTGCAAATTAGCTGTGTGTCTGGATGAGGGATTTGGAGAGCTGCCTCAGATTTAAAATCATTTGTTTTAAGTGGGAATTTTAAAGTTATTAGTACACATTTGAAATCCTCTCGAAAAGGTGTTAGTTTAAAGTTCTTAAAATCAAATAATTGATAACACACGTACTATTGACCATAATAAGAACACAACTATTGTATTACTTGTTGCCATGAACACAACACCTTTCCACCACACTGCTACTGCCACCATATTACCACTGCTTGTGGTACACTTGCTATTACTGTTACTAAGAACACTGCCACAAACACCACTATGAACACTACATTGCCATTGGCCAACATCACCTCTACCAAGAGCAGCACATGACTACCACTTGCCCTTTGCCATTGTTGGCACTTCATAATCACCAATCAACAATTTATACAGGCATATGTCATCACCATTTATAACAGAATCACTATTATTGTAAATTTCATTCATTGGATTTGTTAAACTCATCCTAACAATAAAACTTTTTAAAATGAAGATTTTTTTATTTCGTTTCATCTGGGATCCCTTAATTTGAAATTTCTTTGTAGTTACAAATGCTCGGTCCATATGCACTCGAGGAGTTCAATAAAGCATTTGTATGAGCATTTTAATTCGAGAGGTCTGCTTGCCACTTTTTTAAAATGTAGTCTATCAAGGTTTCTGAAAAGTACTCTGCCAAGGCTGTCGTCATCAATTCTGCTTACGACTACAAACATGAGTTGCATTTGTTCTTCATATAGTGTGGCAATTTTTGAGTCATCTTCAAATTTTAGATCATCTATGAGATCATTCTCATGTATGTATTTAGATTTATGTTCATACATGTGTATGTGTTATGTTGGACTGAATACGGGCTACTCAATTGTCTGACCTGTAGTTGATCCAATCATCCTTTAAACTGCCATAAGTGGGTTGTTCTGGTTTACTAACTACCAACCCAATCTGAAAATGCCCAAGTCTGCCCATGTACCACCTCTCTATTACAAAAAAATATGGAAAAAAGACGATTACAGAAAAAACTGAAGACTGCTTCCTTACTCTCCCATCGGCTTTCTTCACAACAATTATAAATTTTCTGATACGGATTATCTTTGCATGATTCTGGACCCTATTGAGAGAAAAGGGTTGGGGTGGGGCATGGTTGAACATTCAACGATTGTAGTATTTGATTACTGGTCTTGCCTTAGCCATCAGATATTGATATGCTCTTTAATTTGATTTCAGAAAACATTGATTATTATCTATAATTTTGCAGCTAGAGAAGCTGAGTGACAAACAGTGCCAGCCTGAATCGCAACTTAAGTTCATAACAGAGGCCTGGCTACAGGTAAATTATTTTTAACTGGTTTTACTCATGAGGCTTTCTCTCATTGCATTTATTGTGTTTGCAGATAGTTGAATGTAGGCGGGTGCTAAAATGGACATATGCTTATGGATATTATTTACCTGAGCATGAACACGCGAAGAGACAATTCTTTGAGTACTTGCAAGGTATGACATCTGCTCCATTGCAAAAGCAGACTTATTATTTGTTCTTTGTTTGGAGACACTCATATCTGTTGTCCCTCAGGGGAGGCTGAGTCTGGGTTGGAGCGTCTTCATCAATGTGCAGAGAAAGAGCTACAAGTGTATCTCAATGCAGATGAGCCATCAAAAGACTTCAATGAGTTCCGCACAAAATTAGCAGGACTGACCAGGTATTTCCATTTTTTTTAAAATTATAGTTTTCTTCTGCATAATCTGAGCCAAATTGAAATGCTAAGTAAACATGCATGTGATAGTGAATTTGCCACTAGCAGATTGAGAATATTCCAGTCCCCCCTCCCGTTAAAGTAGCATTCCTAATTGTTGTTTAGTTTATTTTGGAAGTTCAATATATCCCATATAGTCAATTGATAAAAAAATACAGTTGTCAATGAGTTAAATACATTTCTAGGTTTATAAAATGCATGCTAGGGGAAACCAATGCTTAACTTTATCAATGCAGTTCCAAATCCCAAATCCACGAAGCAGCAATTTCCAAAACAGAAAGAAAATAGGTATAGCAGTCGAGAATAAGCAGAGTGAATATGGAGTGCCAAACAAAAGAAACTTGGTTAAAATGTACCAGATATAATCAGTATAATGGGTTGTCACAAGCCAAATTACTATGTGTGATATTCCTACCAGCCACCAAAAGCTTATAGGGAAAGCTAAATATTTGGGTGCAGTACAAGAGAAGTGGAAGTATGGAAAGCTTGGTAAAGGAAAATGTAAAGGAAGGATCTTAGTGGGTAATAGTTGGCAGACTACCTTGAGCCCAAAAGAATGCAATTTGTGGCTTCAGAACACTTGGTCACTCCTGATGAAGCCACCCAAGGTACTGAAATTATGATGAGTGGCAGCACTACTTGGGGAAACGCATGGTGAATGGTAGTATGAAAGAGAGAAGAGGATGAGAACAAAACAGCATACCTGAGGGATAGGCAGAGAAGAACAGTACAGGTAAAGTAGAAACAGAGAAGAGAAAGTAACAGCAGTGGGGAAAGAAACGGCGGCAGAGAAGACAAAATAGAACCAGCAGCCGCAAGCGACAGATGAAGAAAGCAGCAGGGCAGAGGAGAGAATGAAGAAAAACAAAGATCAAAGAAGAAAGTGGCAGTAACAGAAAAGAAAGAAGCTGCAGTGCAGGGGGTGGGAAAAGAGTGAAGAAGCAAGTAGGAAAAGGGAAGAGCAGAGATTACAGTGAGAAAGAGATAGAAGAGAAAGCAACATGAGAAGGGGAGAGAAGCAGCTGTGAAGTTGGGTTTTTCCACAACAGTTTCATATTCAAAAACTTCAAACTAAATATCTGACCATTTGTCATTGAGAATCGTATCATGAATTGAAGTCCAATTTTTGTGACTCAGGATGCATAGCACGCAACTTACTGCTTTTTATTGAGACTTTCTTTCTTTTTTCCCTTTATATTTATATTTTGGTGGGCTTTCTCATCTATTTGAACTAATAGGTGATGTTGCGGGAGCTCTTTAAAACATGGATTTCACACTTAGAAAATCAATAGCTTTTGTCTTATTTGATAGCGAAACTTCAATGATTGCAGTGTGACTAGGAATTACTTTGAGAACCTGGTTCGAGCATTAGAGAATGGTCTGTCAGACGTGGACTCTCATGGTGCATGCAGCAGGGCAGCCAGTTCAAAGAGCTTGGGAGGTGGGAGCAGTAAGGGGAAAGGCAGCAGGGGCAAGGGAACTGCATCCAGATCGAGCAGTGCTGCCAGAAACCTTGATGATTCAGGTCATTGGTCTTGCGAATACTGCACCTTTGCCAATGTAAAGTCGGCAACCATTTGCCAGATGTGCCAACAACGCCGTTGAGCCCCACCCGTTTCCTACATGATCACTTACGGAGAGAACTTGGTTTTGCCTCTTTCTACAAACGAGTCATTGGTAGGTTAGAAGCTATTATTGCTCAGTCAACTCCAAGCCATGAATGCGATGACGAAGGAATGTGGATTGAATTTAGGAACAGAGAAAAGGCGAAAATCCTTGCCCCTATTAAGTTTTCAGTGTTCGTTAGAAATTTGTAAATAGTTGCTATTTGTTTTTCAAACATCTGGAAAACACGTCATATGTATTTTTCTAGTCATTTTGAAGGTACTGTTGTACTAACAGATTTGTAGCAAGTTTGAAGCTGTCTTGGAGTGTAGGACTACCTACATTGGTCCTTTACCCTGAATAAATATGTTCCGTAATAACAGTTATGTTAATTCCAGTCTCTCTTTGCTTTTGGTTTCATTTCTTTTCTTCTCCTTCTTCTTCTTCTTCTTCTTTTTCACCACTTGTTCTAGGAATGTATCAAACTGGATTAGAGTCTGGCTTGTATACTTTATCAATTGATGGATTCAGAATTGGATTGGCATTGCTTTGGCTTGGTTAGTTTTTCATATTCGATTGAGAGTCAACTCTTTTGTTGTTGAGTACGCAGATATTCCTGATGTGATCCAAATAATAGCATGTGTACTGTACTAGGTTATTGGTGATGTCTTCGAACTTCAAATTGATGAGATCAAGATCATATACTACAAGCATGTACCTTGTGTCGAATGAGCTTTGTGAGGGCAACAAATTTTGTATGTGCTAACCTAAGGGGGATCAAAGCTTGGAAATGGTAATTATTTAGGGGATGACTGAGCCAAAAGGGGGGAGAAGATAATATAATGACTTTCATGTGACAGATTCTTTTTATTTTTATTTTTTATTTTTAGGATAAGAAATACCAGCTTACTCCTAAGAGTATGAGGGAAGGGGAAGCTGCTATGCGACGGGGTTGGTGGGGAGCTAAAGAAGTCTTTGCACACCCTAACCTTTCAAGAGAGAGGTTTGAAGCCCCTCTGCTCTTCTTGTAAAGCAAACTTGGTCTTATTTATTTTTTGTTGTAAAAAAAATGGGTACAATGAAGAACTTCATTTCATTAGAATGGCTACAATACAGATTTGAAGATAACATTTTAGAAGTGAGGTCCCATGTTTTGCATGACTTTTCTTTTTTCGTAATATCAATATTGGCAATCTTAGAAACTAGAGAAATGTCGAATTTTTTGCTTGATATAAATAAGAGGTGAAATTTAAATGGCACAATCCCATCCATTATTGAAATTTAAACTTCCATAATTTTTTGTAATAATTAATTAAATCTCACTGGTTTGACATGAAATCCCAACTATTACTATTTGGTGAAAAATGGTATAAATTTTAGGTCATAAATTCATCAAAAATGGTTAATTCAAACCTCTTTTCCAGTTAGAGCCCAAAAAAGTAAAATTTGATTGAATGTTTAGTGCAAATTTATGCGGCAGAGTTGGAAAGGCTGAATTTATTCAGTCCATGTTTTTTTATTTAATTCAAATGAATTTAGTTGCACTGAATCTATTCCAACTTTCTGTGTTTTCTTGGCGAATTTAAGACCTTGAAAGGGAGGAATTTTATATTATTGGTATAAAAGAGGCTACTTCCATTATGTCTTTTGATTAGTTGCATCCCTATGCTCTCATCTCTCCCAACATAGCTTAAAAAGTCAGTCCTGTTACACATTTATAAACTTGAAGCCCCCAAATCCTTTCATTTCAAACTTGTAATTTGAACCTCAATAAAAATCATGATCTAACCATAGAGATTAAAACTATGCCAAAACATGATCCATGGAGGATTAGGGTCACATTAGCTAAATATATCCACATTCAAATAAATAATAATAAAACATGAGATACATAAAAACATCACTACGTAATAATCTGACTTTCAAAGACCCATACTATAGCTCAAGTGGTCTCTTGAGATGGCACTCGGTGTGAAGTCTCACGTTTAAGTCTATTGAGAGGCATCAGTCTATGTAGTAATCTAACTATTAACTTGGTGCCAAGTTTCACGTTTAAGTCTATAGAGAGGCATCAGTCTATGTGGTAATCTAACTATTACCTTGCTAACATCTTACCAACATAAACATAATAATAATCTAAATATTACCTTGCTAACATCTATAGAGAGGCATCAGTCAAGTGATTTACTGATCTACCATGACTCGACAGCATAAAAGTAGTAGTTTAACAAATTTCAGTAGAAAGGGCAATATAATCAGCAGAAACATTCATTCTGTCCATCCCGCGTCAGATGAGCTATATGGCCAAACTATGTATGAGATAATATTTCTTTTTATCATTTTATTCTCCTCGTTCTTCATCAGCTTCTAACTACGCTCCTACACCTCCCTATATAAATGCAGCAATCATCCTCCATGGTCATTCAATATAGTTAACTACACAATTTGCAACAATAAAACAGAAACATGAGGCTTCAATATATTATTGCCTTGCTTTGCTGACAAAACACTTGTAAGTATACTGTATAGTAAACTAGATGTGTACGGGAATTTGATTGAGAGGAGTGAAGGCTTGCTTTCAGCAATGTTCATCACACCCTGCTGGTTTTGTAGATGACATAAGCCAACAAGAGGGGCATTGATAGGCCATATACTGGGAAATGAAGAAATGGATTCATCTCATAAGCTTTCATCAGAGCTCTGCTATTCTGCATTTACAAAAACATAACAAACAAACAAACAAACAAACAAAACAAAATCAGCAAAAGCAAATCAGAAACCCGAATATATGAACCAAAACATATTTAAAAGTTGGCATTTATCCGTTTCCTGTAATGGAAAGCTAAGAGGCTAGAGGAGAATACAAATAAAAAAACAAAATTTCAAAGGTTTCCAGCAACTTGAGTTGAAATAGCAGTTGCAAGATTTGCTGCCTTTATTTTCTCTACATATTCTCTAGCCTGTCCTCTATTCTTTACACCAAAATAAATCAGCAGTTAAAGCAATACCTTAAAATGCATCCAACAAATTGCTAAAGAAACCGCCAGGAGAATATTCCTAATCCAACGCTTGCCAAGACAGAACTTTGATTTACCATTCCTGCAGGAATCATGCCTTTGATGTCCCTCATTTTCCAATACATCATCATCTTCCTTCTTGCCTGAAAGCGAAAAAAAATGCTCTCGATACATCCCTCTTTCGGCAGTCAATGCCCCAGTCACCAAAATCGTGGGCAACACGACGAATAAAAGATGTGGAAGAACAATCACCATTATATCTGGAAACCCAATAAATTCCAGTTTTCCTGCCTTGTTGAATTTCACCACCCAACCTTTATAGGTCATATATCCCCTTTCTCCACCATCAGTGAAGACAAGCCCATAAAACCAAGGAAATAACAAAAGGTAAAATAAGTAAACTAACATACCCAACCATAACAGTGGAAGTCCATACAGCTCTGTCAAAACCCATGCCATACCATTTATAAAGCCTTTATTGGCATTGAAGTTCTTATAATTGTAATGCTTCTTTGAAAAATGAAGAATAGTTTTAGGAATAATAAGGATGGAGAACATAAACAAATAAATGGACCAGAGAATTGGGTAATATAAAGCAGCCCATTGACAGCCCATCGCTAGAAACTCTTTCCATGTCCACGAAAGCTTAGCGCTTAGACCATTTATTGAGAATGGCCTCAATTCAGTCAAAGTTGATCTGCCCATGACGTCTGTAGCCTCTATTTGCAGCCAAAATCTATAAGGGGATGAATCCTCAAAAGCTTTATAATTCCAAGGGGTCGTATACAGATCACCCCTGGAGTAGGTACCCGCATGTTTTCTCATGGATGACTCTAGGACCATAAGGAGATGTCCAGGTCTTGAGTCATAGACCCTAGCCATAACAGATACAATCGGGGAAACAGAAAAAATTAGAGCTCTGATGTTCACATAAGATGAAGGGTTTACAAACTGACATTTATACTGATTAGCTGATGACATTGTCAACATAAAGCGCGAGTCTAGAGGAAATGTGGGTAATATGATAGTTTTTTTAGTTCCCAACTTGAAATCAATGTCAACAAATGACACAAGACCTCTGTCAATAGCCAAGATGCGCATGGCTCTACTCCTCCTCCAGTCACCCATTTCCCACTCCCAGAATTCTTTGTCTGCTGGGGATCCATTTGAACAATTTTCTGTACTTGCAAGTGTTTGCTGTGCATTCAACTGGAAAAACCTTTGGGAGATCAAGAGATTATCACTCGAGTGATGATGGCGTTTCAAATTCTTACCAAACCTTGTATGGAGATGTCCACATAGATAAGTTGATAGGGAATGCTTGAGAAAAATATCCTTCAGGGTCTTCCCAGAATCCGAGGCTGCCGAAAATGAAAGCGGGAAATGCCCAAAGGAAATCTTGGTTACTGATTCTGTGGAATGAGAATTCCATTGTGAGAGTTCAGAATCTATTTCAGATAATAGTTGGTCAGTTGGATGCCCAAAGAGATTAGTTGGGCCTCTAATGCCCGCTGACATCGTGCTGTCAAACCCAACAAAGAGAATTTTCCTGATAGCAGTCTGGATGGTGGAGCACATGCATACACAGATGAGAGAATTGAAAGGCTTTACATATATCAAATAATGGTTACTAACGCTAATATTCAAGCGGAGTAGCTTGATTTATAAAAATTGGCTCATTAAGGTATCACTAATTCTTCAGGTTAATGCTTGGCATTCAAAAGACTACAAACAGAAATCAGAAATTTATCAAAAATTAAAATTAGAATAGAAAACAGCAACAAGAAAGAATTTAAGTCCACTACTTTAAAAGGTGTACACGAAAATTCATCTGAGGTGAAAAGGCCATGGAAAAGTCAATAAGGTTGGTTCCTATAGTCTGTAGACTCTGTAATAGTACATTCAGTCAGAACTGGGCAAAAAAGTTGTAGATGGTAGTTTGTAAACGAAGAACCACGACAGCAGGTATGCCAAATAACAACAATAGAAGTGCTTACGAGAATAACTGACCTGAACAACGACACTATTGACTTGCCCACTTCTCCCCAACAGTGCATTGATGCTATACTTGGAAAAGAAATCAAATGAGCCACCAATGATTGGTACACCGAAATTATCGTGATTCCCTCTTAGATCATAGAAGATGTTCTTGTTAAGTCCACTTCTTTTAATAACATCTTCCATTACTTTCTGGTACTCCAGCCACTCAGCCTCATCTTGGTTCATTGTCGACAAATCCTTGCTTTTAGCATCTGTAAGATTCAAAATACATAGAGGCTAGTTAAGAACACAGAATTTGGCTACTCATCCAATGATTAAATGTGCTGAGGATGAGTGAAAGTTAAGAATATATTGACATATGTGGTTTTAAATGTATATAAATAATTTAGTTATATTGATATTTATTTTATTTTAAAAACTATTTATGTATTTGCATATGTATATATATAAAATATTATATTATATTAAATAAAGAGAATCTTTGGACTCATGGTTAGGTATGTGATGTAACAACAATACTTAAACCCATACTTCTTCTACCCTCCCAATAGAATAAAAAAACATACTACCCAACTAAGGCCTCCAAATCCCCTACTCATAAAATAGATTTGCAGAAAAGTTTAGAAGAAAAGTTTAGACTAAGGCACTAGCGATAAGCAACATGATTAAACAAAAATTATTTGAATTTATAGTTAGAGAACCAACACCTGTGCTCCATTTCCTTTTAATGGAAAGCATATCAATTAGCCACAGCCATGTTTTGACAAACACACACATACGAATGTTTTGACTGCTGCCAACAATATTAGTTATAGCCCACAAGCTGCTTTCTATCCTGTTTTTATGGTCACAACTTGAAGTCATAAATTAAAGGGAAATTTGGCTATAAACCCCTTTTACCTTCATTTTATTGTTAAAAGGACTAAGAAAAAAATAGTATTTTCTAAACCCCCTCATAATTATAAAGTTTTGCATAAAGGACAAAATTTATTATTTAAATTTTTTATTAGACTATTATACCCTCAACTAAATTTTCCCACCTTCTCCACCCACTCTCTCCCCACCTTTTTTGTCTCTCTCCTTCCTCTCTCCCTTCTCTAACTCCTTCAAGCTTCAGATCTGGAAGCTCAGCTACCGCCTCTGGAACTTCTGCGTCGATCTCGCCAACGCCGCCGGCGTCTAATCCTCTTCCGCCACTCCCTCCGGCGAACACGCCAAGCTCCGCCACGTCTCTGCTGATTTGCTCTTCTTATGTATATGTGTATGTATGTATTTATATATATGTGTGTGCATGTATGTATGTATATATGACTCATACATACATATGTATATGTATATATATCGGTAAGTGAGTGTATATATGTATACTACGTGATATTTTTTTTAAACATAGATCTGAGTTTTGAATATATATGTATATATATATATTTGTGTGTATGAGTGCTGTTGAACACATGTATTCTTTGAAATCAAAAGATAGAGAGATATTTGGATGTGTTCTCTGAAATGGCCACCTCAATCAGATTATGATTATGTTGATATTTGGATGTTTTTGTTTAGTTTTTGATCTGTGTGTTTTGTGGTTATATATCCTTGTAATATAGATTTATGTTTTTACTTGTTTTTGAATTAACCTGTTCATACTCAGCTTGTTCAATGGATGATCGATCTATTAAAATAGATGATCTATTCAATTTCTCTCTCTTTCTCTCTCTCTGATAAGAATCTCTCTAATAAGAATTTCACACAGAAATTTTACTAATCAGAGTAAAATTTTACTTTGGTTAAAAAATGTTGATTTGCTTAAAAATATAAAATTTTACTTTGAATCATAGTAAACTTTACTCTAATTCAGAGTAAAATGATTCAGAGTAAAATTTTACTCTGAATTTTTACTTTGGTTAAAAAACATGTTGATTTTCTCAGCAACCAAACTATATTTGGTTTTCCTGATAAATAAAAAAAAAAAAACTATATTTGGTTTTCTTGTTATGTTTTTGTAATTTTCTCAGCAACCAAACACATAAGGTTATTAATACATGATACTTAGTGTGATTCAAAGTGGATACTCTCCTTAAATCATAGTAAAATTGTACTTTCAGAGTAAAATTTTATTCTAAATCAGAATAAAATTTACTATGATTCAAAGTAAAATTTTACTCTGGTTAAAACCATGTAGATTTGCTTAACGATATAAAATTTTACTTTGAATTATAATAAATTTTACTCTGATTCAAAGTAAAATTGTATTTTCAGAGTAAAGTTTTACTCTGGTTAAAAACATGTTGATTTGCTTAACAATATAAAATTTTACTTTCAATCATAGTAAAATTTACTCTGATTCGAAGTAAAATTTACTATGATTCAAAGTAAAATTTTACTCTAAAATATACTGTGAAGATGGCTTAATAGGAGAACTAATAGATATGAGGATAATATAGTAAAAGAAACAAGTTTTAAAATATTAGGGAGTTTTGAAAGTATCTATATAATTCTTGTTCTTTTGAAAGACAAATTAGACAGTAAGGAGTCTATCACCAAATCCCTTTTAATTAAATACCCATTTGATTAGGACACAAGCTTAGTTTGATTTGATTTGATTTGAACTCCCATTTTAAAAAGGACAAACTACATATACCTCCCTCGAGATTTAGCTAAATTACAGATACCTCATGAGATTTCGGAAATTACAGATACCCTGAGATTTATATTTTTATAACAAATTACCCGTGAGGTTTATATATTCATAACAATTTGCCCCGTAATTTGTTATGCAAATAGTCCCTTCAGGATATTTGTAATTTCTCAAACCTCAGGGTATCAATAATTTTGCTAAACCTCAAGGGGTATATGTAATTTGCCCTTTTAAAAAATGAAACCTAAGCCAATTACAAACTAAACAAATTTTGAGAAAGAAAAAAAAAGAGCGCAGAAAACCCTAGATTCCTTTTGATCATAAAATATTATCGAAAAAGAAAAAGACTAATCAAACATCATGCTAATGAATGTACATCCATCAAGATAATTATCAAACAAATATAAATTTTAGAGAATAAATCAGAGAGAGAGAGAGAGAGAGAGAGAGAAAGAGAGTCAAAACCTGTGAGATCTCCAGTGATGAGAACGAGTGAAGGATTGATCATGGAAAGAGAAGGGCCGACAAAGTCCTTGAAATCACGAGCTCTGTCGGGATGATGAAGGCTGAAATGGAGATCAGAGAGCTGAACCACCCACACCACATCCTCTGGTCCATCCTCCTTCACATCTATCATCTCATAAGACCATGTCCATGTCGATGTCGCCACCAAGAACAACATCAACCAGAGGATGATCACAACCACATTCCCCATTTCTTCTTCTTCTTCTTCTTCTTCTTCTTCTCTCTCAAACACACAAACACACACACACACACTGATCAAGAGAGTGAGTAGTGTGAGACCCAACAAAGCAAAACAAAAAAAAGTCATCTTTTGATTTTATTATTAATTAATTAATTTTATTTCATTCTACTTCTACTTTTCCTTAATAAAACCTAAAAATCAGTAAACCGGTTGAACCGGTCCCGGTTTAGATAAACCGTTCGGTCTCAAAGCTCACACATATGATATATATTTTAAATTTCTGGTTGGCTAGGGTTCCTTCCCTTCCATTGGATCAGGAGTCATCGCAGCACGAGTTACCTGCCCTCCCTCCTCCTCCTCCTCCCCATTCCCCATCCATCGATTACACACACAAACACACACACACACATATATATACATATATCAAATTTGTATTGGGTGTTTTGCAGTACTTCTGAAGAGAGGGAGGGTTTAATTAGAATTTAGCACTCAAATGGCACACAGTAGTATATGGGTAGGCTGCTGAACTTGCTGTCATTCTTATCTACTCTACAGTACAGGTATGTATGTCATGTCATGTCATGTCTGTCCCTGTATATATATATGTATATGTATGTGTGTACACACATTGCATTTTGTCTATATCACGTTTTTAAAACTTGCTTTTAGACAATGAAATTTTTGCATTGACTAGTTTTCTGTTCGCTGCTTACTTTACCCACAGAAGATTGTTTTCATCATCACCATCATTTCATTCTATTCACTGTGTGGTTAGTTGCTAAATAAATGCCCATTCTTTCTGCTCAAACTGAATTGCAATTTGGAATATGGGTTCATCTGGGAGTTGGTTAAAAGTTTGACTTTTTCACTATTTTTTTTTTTTTTTTGGGTCATATTGTGTGTAAAAAATGTGAAAGAGATTTGGGGATTTGGAGAGTAATTTGGAAAGAGAAAGAGAAAGAGAAAAGGTAGATGAAATTTGAATAAAATATACTTATATTTTACTTATACTGTGTTTGATTGAGAGATTTATAAAGGGATTTGGAAATAAAAAGGAAAAAGACGTGTAAAATTAAGTGAAATATAGATATATTTTATACACATTTTACCTACCTTTTTCCTTTCATTTTCTAAATACCTTCTCAAATTCTCTAACTAAACACAACGGTAGTTTCACACATCTTTTTCTCTTTCCTTCTCAAATTCCTTTCCAAACCCCCCAACCAAACACGATGTGACATAAATATTTAAGAAAAATTAAATTTTTTTGGTCTTTTTTTTCCATAGTTTTACTAATTATAATGTCACGGTTTGATCCTGGTTGGTTCAACCATAGACTCCTGAGTGAAATATCTCTTAATAGTGGTTATTGAATTCTGTCAAAGCTTTGCAGATTTTTGTATTTAGTTGGTTTTCAACAAGTTTTAGTGCTTGTTTAGGAAGAAAAAGCCCAGGCTTTTTGGTTAAAATAGTTATAAAAACATAAAATAGGTTTTTTAGCCTAATAAGACAACATCACATTCAACCCACAATCATTACATTTTTTTTTTTTACAAAAGTAAAAAAATCCATCCCAAACGAGGCCTTTTAGCCGCAGGCTAAAATAGTAAAAAAAAATTAAAAAGCCAAAAAGTCAATCCACATCCCAAACAAAGTCTTTGTCAAATTATTTACAAATGAATTTCAAAATGCTAATTTTAAAATCCACATATTCTGTTGGATACCTATCTATAGTTTACTACTTCCGCATGATGTTTAAGCACAAACTTCAACCTGAAGATTGCTGTCTTATAAGTGCTATCTATATCTCAATCTTTTTGTTACAGTATTATATTTAAGGGAAGTGATTGAGACCCCCTCCAATCACCACCCCCACCACCCTCACACACACGTGGGGGCTGGTGATTGGGGGAGAAGAAAAAAAAAGAAAAACTGGCCAACAGAGAGCGAGGGGGTTGTGGGGGTGCCCCTTGTGGGGTCCAAGTCATTTTCCTATATCTAATTGGGTGAAATTTTATACATCTATGTATGACATGGATATTTCCCTTTTTTTAACTTGTATTTTAATCTTCTGATTGTTACATTTGCTTTATCTGCAGAGGAGGGAGTGTTCACAATGAGGTCAGAGTTCTTTGTGTACAAGCATATATGTGGTGCCTCAAGGGCGTGAATGCTGTGAAAAACTCCTCCTTCGATGGTAAGTAAAGGTAGCTTGTGAATTTCAGTTTCAATGTTATACCTAGTGAGCCTCTGCTTGTGACCTCCAATTTTGTATTTTTTACGTTAGAGTTTCTAACTTTTTGCAACCTTGTGTGATGTTCGAAACTGGAATCATATTAAGATATTTAATGTGTTTGGCAAAAATCTGCCTGTGCAACTATATTTGTTGAGAAATTACAGAGGGCATAGGATTTCATCTATCTAAGCTGTAGAAGAAAATCCTACTTTGATGTTCTTCTTCTCTTTCATAACCTAAAGAAGGGATATGGAGGATTGTTTGTAAAATTTCTATAACAAAAACCCACATTAGACAAGGAATTATTTTTCCTCCAAAAGAAAATCCCAGTGTGAAGTGCTTGATATTACTCTTTAAAACTATTAACACAATCATATTTGGAATTTGAGATAAATTCTATGCTCTAGTTTTGAGGTGCATTAGCATGACAATGTTTCAAGTCGACTGATGCATACTTCTCTCTCTAATATACATATTGTCTAACTCAATTTTTATTTTTGTCTGTTGAACTGTTGTCCTCACCACTGGGTTTCCTACCTTTATGATGATAAGGATCCTTCCCATTCTGGAAGCTTATAGCACGTGTCGTCTGAAGTTACACATTGGCCATGTTTGTTTCATGGAATGGAATTAAGGGGATACGGGATCCCGAGACTATTAGTCCTGTGATTAATTATATTGCCAATTCAAGTAATCCTGTGTTTGGTGCGTTACAGGACTAGAGCACATGATATGTGTAATCCTACAAATGCAAGGATAAGGACAAATCAACACTAATTACCACACTGTCACTGTTCGAATTTCATATTTCCATGACCATTTTCCCATGTTAAATTTAGCAAAATGTTGATGGGCTTAAAAAATTAAATTTCATATTTTAATAGGCAACTTGAGATCTGTGGGTTAAATCAGTAATCTTGGGAGATCTTAAAAAATTAAATTGGTGAGATTTCTTCGTGTTCAAATGGCTGGCGACAACAGTTCAAGATAGTATGATCTATGTCAGTCTCATGAACTTTTGAAACATTAATATTTGCACATCTTCAAAAATTAAATTGGTGAGATTCCTTTGTGGTCAAATGGCTGGCGACAACAGTTCTAGATGGTATGATCTATGTCAGTCTCATGAACTTTTGAAACATTAATATTTGGAGATCTTCAAAAATTAAATTGGTGGGACTCCTTTCACTATGAAAGTTCATGTCCCTGTTGAACCTGTGGTCAAATGGATGACAGCAAACAGTTCTAGATAGAATCATCTATGCCAATCCCATGAACTTTTGAAACTTAAATTTGCTAAGGGATCAGTCTGTGTCATATTAAAAAATGTCCCATTGAGATATTATTAGTATTTTAGGTTGCATATTGGGATATAAGTTTATGCATGCTTTAATTTTTCTTCATTTCTACAGTTCATGGCATGTAGAAGGGGAACTGTCATACTGCAGTCATCTTTGTCGTTGATGGAGAATGAAAACTCTGAAAGGTTATGTAATGTTCTTAAAAGTTGTCATATTATCTTGAACTTGAACAACATACCAAGTTTTAGTGGGAAAACTTCAAAGCTTGGCATAAAGTCTACAGCTTTTCCTACAAAGAGGTACAAAAGTCACCTTATTTTATCTCCATCTATTTTAGTTGCCAATATATGCGATCAATATGAGATGAAATTGCCAATTGGCTGATCCTTTTTACCTAGGATACTAAAATGATTCCTCTAGAATTTTCTTTATCCATGCCTAGTGTTTGTTATGCAGTCCAAATTCAGTTGCCGCACTTTTGAATATGCCATTAGTGTTTGTATGTTGAAACAGTTTTCAAACAAAAAGACATGGTTGGAAAGTAGCTTTTGCTTTGGACACTGGCGGAATTTCCAACAATGGTGGACAAGATGACAGCCTTGATGATGATAGTCAAGGCCTGAGCCGGACTCGATTAGGTCGGATTGCAAGTGCAGGGGGCAGACAGCTGTTGGAGAAACTGAATGCAGCTAGAAAAAACTTCCCCATGAAGATCTTTCTTGTTTTACTAGGTTTCTACACAGCAAATGCATTGGCTACAATTCTTGGGCAGACAGGTGACTGGGACGTATTGGTTGCTGGTGTTGTGGTTGCTGCCATTGAGGGGATCGGTATGCTCATGTACAGAAAGCCCTCCTCTCTAACCACTGGGCGGTTGCAGTCTTTGGTGGTGATGATAAACTATTGGAAGGCTGGTGTTTGCTTAGGCCTCTTTGTAGATGCTTTCAAATTAGGCAGTTGATTTCTCCTCCCTTCTGCAATGTTTACCTTATTATTATTTCTTATTTTTGTTGAGTTGTCTCCAGAGGAAAGATTTTCCTGTTATTCATTTTCCCTATTCCTTCGATAGGTAGTTTGAAGGAAGCATCTGTACCAACGCAGAAAAAATATAAAACGGAGACTTGCAAATGTACGAGTACAGTTAAATGTAAAGATAATAAATAAAAAATTTCCGGCTTAATTATCATGTTGAGGGACGAATTGATCTTAAAGTTGATCTATTATATGTATAAGTAGTTTTGCTGTCTATGGCATGCAGTCCTCCCTTGAATTTCATTTGTGAGATTTTGTATCGGTTTTGGCTTGAATGCTATTCTATTTTTTTTATTTGTTAGTTTTGACCCAACAAATTGGGACTGAGGCTTGTTGAGTTGAGTTCATTGAATGCCTAAACTTCTGTATAGTAAAGCAATTGGATAGTGTCAACAAATTGGAGAATGTATCCCTCTATATTAAAAGACCCCAAAATTACAATGCTGGTAATCAATCTGAAAATTGCTTTTGGGTCCATAGTTGTTCCGTTCTATAAAGAACAAATTCTATGAAGAACAAATTATTGTTAAGACGCAGCTAACAGGAAAATAACTAAACAACTAGCAGTTGTTTTGCTGAAGCAAAGCAACAAGGACAAAAGGGGGCTATCCGAAACCTGATAAAAATGGATCCATTGTCTGTCTTGCATACATCCTCTCCACAAAGACTCCGTCCACAAGCAAGAATTAAGAATTTTGAAAAGAGACTAACAAGCAGCAAGCAACATACCTTTATAAATATGTTGGTTAATGCAATGACTTTTAATATTTGATTACCTCAGAACTTGTGAGAGGAAGTAATACTTGCAAACATGTTCTATATTAAATGAAGTAACTGTAAAAGACAACAATAAAATTATTTGTGAAATTTGAAAGAAAATAGCTCATAATCTTACAATTGAAGTGTGGGGTTGTTAGCTGACGTAGCAATTCTTGAACTGAGCAAAATAATATAAGACCGAAGATTCTCCAAATCAATCAATTAACATGACAAATGTGTATGTAGACTGTAAAGAAAATAATGGAGAATATGCTACGGTACCCTATTCTCAGATTCATGGCCCTCAAAGTAGAAGGGCTCTTCACATGCATGACGTACAAAATATTACAAATGCCTAATATCATAAAAATCTCAGATTTATTCAGAGTGAAATCATGTAGTTTATAACCAGTACAAAGTGAACGAAAACAGTTGCTCCTTGTTTGTTCTTATAAACTGTTGTTGCGGTATTACATGCAAGACAACTTTTGAGGGATTTGTGGAAGAAATTTTCTTAGTCACAAGTCCTTATTCAGTAAAATTATATTAGATGATTGATTTGTGTGCTTGCTTCTTGTAGAGCCCTTTTACTCTGCAATTAAAAGTAGATGAATAATTAGGATGGTAAATAACCAGAATAACATTCACAGGTGTGTGGAGCTCTAAATTGTAATGATATTTACATGGTAGATTTTCTTACTTCTTGATCTTAATAATGAATAGGGCAGTGGTGGGAATGTGTAGACGTATGTGGGAGGTGGTGAAGACTTCTCTGGTGAGGGAGGAGATTTGTTGTAGCATGAGGGAGGGGAGAAGATGATAGTGGTGGTGGGGACTTGAATTAATAGGGAGGTGGAGGAGATAGTGACGGTGAGGGAGGTGAAGGCGATGATGGTGGTGGAGGGGACTTGTAGTATTATGTTGGTGGAGTAGATGGAGATGGTGATGGTGGGGGTGGGGAGTGGAGGCGATGGCGATGATGGTGGTAATTATAGTGGTATGGAGATGGAGATGGAGATGGAGATGATGGTGATGGTGATGGTGGTGGATGACATTTATGATAGTAGGGTGGTAGAGGTGATGGTGATGGAGATGGAAGTGGTGGAGACTCGTACAATTATGGACGTGGTGGAAAAGGTGAAGGTGGTGACTAGTAATAATAAGGCGGCAACGGCGATGATGATGGTGGTGGAAAGTTGAAGGTCGTGGTGGTGACTTAGTGGAGGAGGTGACAGTGGGGGCAGAGACGGTGAAGGCAGTGGTGGAGACTCATAGTAGTACGCCGGAGGAGGTGATTTTACTGGCGGTGGTGTTATATTTGGGTGGTGGAGATGGAGGAGGAGGTGATATTGACTAGTAGTAAAATGGTGGTGTTGGGGATGCTGAAGGTGGTGGAGGGGACTTGTAGTAGTGAGGAGGTGATGGTGATGGAGGTGGCAGAGACTTGTAATAATTGGGTGGTGGGGGTGGTGATTTGCATGGTGATGGTGGTGATAGAGATTTGTAGAAGTAAGATGGTAGCTTGAGCTTCTTACATTATGGAGTCTTTGGTGCAAAAGCAAAAGGCTTGGTCATGAACACAACCCCATTGTGTGTTTTGGACTTGACCTTAACAATGGCTCCCTAGTCTCCACCATGTATGGTAGTTGGGACATTGCATCGTGAACCTTTAGGTGCCATGTGAAGTTTAGCTTTGCATGCCTTGGCTCCGTACTTTGTGTAATCGTAGCCATTCTGGTATTTGCAATTGATCTTGGTATGTCCATATGCCACAATTTCCTGGTCTCCACAGCTCCTGCTTCATGAGTATGAGATATTAGCACAAGCCAGCTGATTTGCATGTTTAACATCTACACAAGTTCTTTTGGATCACTATGTGAATATGTCTATGTGCTCACATTCATTGTTAAGCAAACTCCATCATCTCATGCTCACCATTCTGTGATATATTAAAATTAATTTTCCTTATATCATCTCACGCAAAGGCATGGGTTGAAAAAACAGAAGAACAATAAGTGAGAAGTATTACCACAGAACACTCTGGTTTTCCAAAACAGAGAAAGACAAGCCAGGTTTCAACTACTTCAAAAAGTTGCAAGCTTAGTATAGAAGTGATGTTTATGTGTGCAAGGGCTCCAAGTTATGACAGTGAAGTTGAACCAGCATATTTACTGGAAAAATAACCAGACACAAACAGTAATCATGTTGAGCAATAAAATCTCCCAGGATGTATGAACATATATAAATTGAAGTTTCATATGTAATGCATAATTACCGATTATTATTGTAGTATACTGCTTAAATGACAGCTTGTCAAAATTCAATGTGCTTGCAGATGCTTCAAAGAACATGCAGAGCACCGTAGCTGTCAAGTTGTTGCATCTTTGTCCAATACTGATCAACATCACTGCAAACACCATGTTCTTGCAGTATTTGTCCCAACTCAGCAGCTGCGGCTTCTGCAGGATTATTAACCAACTTTTTCTCATAGCCAAAGACCAGTGCCCGATGAGTAACTTCATTCGGAATGACACCTCTTTCAACCATCATATTTACCAAGTGGTGCGCATCATCTATGCTCCCAACTCTACAAAATCCACGTATGAGTGTGTTGTACAACATCAGATCTGGAATCAGACCTATATCAAGCATCTTACGGAACAGAGCATTGGCTTCTTCCATACGACGTACCTTACAATACCCATTAAGAAGAGCACTGCATGTCACAACATCAGGTTTTATACCATGCTCACTCATGTAGAACCAAACAAGAAACGCTTCCTCAAAGTTCCCTTTATTTGAGAACCCATCTATAATACTAGTGAATGTTACTACATCAGGAGAAAACCCCCTTCTAGTGAGCTCATTTATTATATCATTTGCCTCATTCACAAATCCTCGTGTAATAAGGCTGTGAATTATAATGTTATATGTCACAATGTCGGGAGAAACATCAGAAGATCTCATCGTATCTAATAGCTCAAAAGCCTTGTGCAAGTGGCCCTTCTTTCCGTAGCCACCCATCAACACATTGTATGCAACAACATCAGGAACCAAACCCTCTGTTAACATATTCTGAAACAAATGTTCTGCCATGTCCACGTTGCCTGACTTGCAACAACCATCAATAAGCGTTGTGTATGTAGTAACAGATTCCTTGATTCCCCTCTTCAACATCTTTCCCAAAAAGTTAAAAGCTTTATCTATTTTCCCGATCTTGCAGTATCCTCCAATTATAGTAGTGTAACTGAAACAATCAGGATTCAAGCCCAACTCTAACATCTCTTGAAAAATATTAACAGCTTCTGCCACATTACTATCTGTACATAACTTTGAAAGTAAGCTGTTGTACAAGTAAACATTGGGAGGAATGCTAAAAATCTTCGAAAGGTCAATTGCTTTCTCCAATTTTCCCACTTTACAGTAACCATCAATAAGTGAACTAACTGAAACTGAATCCAAGGAGATACCCATCTGAGTCATTTTGAACAACATAGAAGTGGCTTCCTTCAAGTGACACATTTTGCATAGGGAGTCAATGACTATAGTATATGCAACAATGTCGGGATCAATCCCAATTTTTTTCATTTCCATCAGCAATACCAAACCAATTCCAAGGTTACCTTCAGCACAGTACTTGTAGATAAATAAGCTAATAATAGAAGCAGTAAGAACCATCCCTTGGTTCTGCATCTCTTCTACAAAATCCCAAGCCAGTTCAAATTGTCCTGATCCTAATAATGCTCTGAGAAGTGAATTACAAACCCCTGTTGAGGGAAAGATGCTAAGATGCTTAATTTTACTTGTGAATTTAAGAGCAACATTTACCATGTCTTCCTTTATAAAACAGTCAACAAACATGCTGTATGCAATCACCAATACCCTTCTTTCAATATGGGTTTCATGGAAGACTCTCAGCAACAAATCGGACCACCAATCTTCCCCTACATTCGATCTCACAAGGCATTGAATTAGATCAATCGCTCTATAGTTCATGTTCCCAGCAATTAAAATATGTACCATTGTCGAAATTGATCGGACTGTATGCTTCGATCCCATGCAATACTCTGACCACCTAAAGAAGTATAGAGCAAGTGCAGCATCTGAACTTTCCTCAAACAGAATGTTCAAAATCCGAATAATGTTGTGCTGATCCAAATCAATCTTATAGCCACTTTCATAGCCTAAATTCCAGGCACAGTTTCTAAGTATAGATTTTATTCTTTTCACCTCATCATTCTCTGACTTGTCATATTCATAGATAAAGGAATACTTGTCAAAAAACTCATAGATATCATTCTTGTCAAAAGATAGGTCATTACTTTCTACACTTTGATCCAAACAAATGGAGTCTTCAAGGAGAAAGACTTGTTCATCCTTCAAATCAAAAGAGGAAGATAATACCAAACTTGTGGATGACAAAAACCTGGATGATGTTCTCTTCCTCCTCCCAAGTATCAGCTTCAATCCAGTAGACACAACACTGATGACTGAAAAAGATGCCTTCATGAACAATCAGGAAGCACCCAAAAAATAGTTGCATCTTCCCCCCCCCCACAAAAAAAAAAAAAAAAAAAAAAAAAAAAAAAAAAAAAAAAAAAAAAAAAAAAAGGAAGAAAAAAAAGAAATGGTTATAAGTAAATCAATTTCCTACACTAAATAATGATAGCTTTGAGTACATGAAAAAGAAAACTAGAATTTAGACCATGCAGCTAAATTTGCAAAGAAAATATGAAAAAAAAAATTAATAAGAAAATACGCAAATAAAATTAAAAAAATAAATATCAGACCCAATACAAAATTACGAACAAAAAGCAATCAATTGCTCGCAAGAAATAGTTTTTAGAGAAAATTAAGTTAAACCCAGATTTTGTAAAGCATAGAGATCAATGATTCAATTGAAGGGTCTGAAAACAAATTCAAAAGAATGGACTTGAAATTTTTGAAGGTTCACTTACCCTTTTTGTTCTTGTGTATGTATCAAACTGTGTGTATCGACCATTAAGCATATAGATATGGGAAACAATGAAATCTTGGATTCGAAGACTACTACTGTTATGTAGAGAGAGAGAGAAGAAGATGGGCGTTTTTAGGGCAAATTGCACAATATTCCCTTAACTATCGTTCATTATCAATTTTTTCCCTAAACTAAAAATTATTCACTTGGTTCTATTTTTCTAAAAACATTTTTGAGAAAATTCTATTTTTTTATTTTTTATATTTTTTTATTTTTACTGATTTTTTTAAAAATATTTTTAATATTTTTTTTAACTTTTTAGACATACATAATATAAATATACCTAAAAAGTAAAAAAATATGAAAAAATCTTTTAAAAATTTACTAAATATCAAAAATATAAAAAAAAAGGAGAATTTAGTATATTTTTTATATTTTTATGTATTTATTAATTTTTAAAAATATTTTTTTACAATTTTTTTTATTTTTAGATACATCTAAGTAAGGTGCATCTAAAAAAAAATGTTTGAATTTTTTAAAAATATTTACTAAAAACAAAAAATACGAAAATCAAAAAATTCAATTTTTTAAAAACTTAATCCAAAAAACTTAAACCAAACCTACTGATTATATTTTTACCTATTCATTTTTTATAACAAAACATTCGCTTGGATTTGCTTGGGTTGAGATTAAAATAAATCAAAAAATTATGAAATAAAAAATAATGATTTTTTATTAAATAGATAAACTGACAACGACCTATAGTTAAATGTGCGGCTTGAGATTAAAATAAATCAGAAGATTATGAATTAAAAAATAATTAATGTATTTAGTTTTAATTTTCTTAATTTAGTCTTTTAAAAATTGAGTTTTTTATTTTTATTTTTAGTGAATATTTTTAAATTTTCAAGCAATTTTTTTTACTTTATTAGATGCACCTCTAAATAAAAAATATTTTAAAAAATTAATAAAAACACAAAATATGAAAAATATACTAAAATTTTTTTATTATATATTTTTGGTATTTAATAAATTTTTTAAAGATTTTTTTTCATAAATATTATACTTTTTAAGTGTATTTATGTTAAGTGTGTCCAAAAATTAAAAAATTTGCTTAAAATATTAAAAAAATTCAGTAAAAACAAAAAAATACGAAAAAAGTAGAATTTCTAAAAAGTAAATTCTAAAAACTAAAACTAAACAAATTGAATAATTTTTAATTAAATGGATAAAATGACAATAAGGTAAGATGTAATTTACTTCATTAAAAAATTTAACAATTTCAATTTATTTCCTTGCACTTTCAATTTTATATCATTAGTAGGACCAAAAATTCAGGCTAAGTTTGGCAAGTTGCCAAAAAATTAAAAAGTCAAAAAGTCACTAAAACAGTTAAAAAATTATCACTATTCATCAAAAGTTAAAAATTACAGCTGCACAACTCTCAATTCTAATTTTTCCCTATACACTAATTCATATAAATTTTTAATACACATTTTTCCATAAAAAGTCAAAAAGTTAACCCAAATATCCATATTTTTTTCCTTAATTTTTTAGTCCAAAAAGACAAAAAGTACACTTATTTAGGACACCCCAAACAACCCCTCAATGTAGCTTATCCAACAAAAATATCCAAATCCATTGGTGTATTTGTTTGGGTGGATTGGATAATGGGAGATTGTAATCCATTAGACTGTCAGTTCTGAGATATATTGACCCCGTACTATTTGGTTGGACTGCATTGGTAACTTATGTTTATTTAGTCATAGGATTAGATGTCTGGATTAGACTATTTTTAGTGAATTCAATATTTAGTTGGACGGACTGGATAAGGATAAATATTCAAAAGGCTATTTTACTCTTGTAATTTATAATTTTTATTTAATATATAATTTTAAATTTGTAATCTATAATTTATAATTTAACAACACTAAAAAATTTTAATTTATAAAGCCATAATTTTAAATTTATTATTTTCAATTAAATTAAATTTATAATTTATATTTTTATTTAATATATAATTTTAAATTAACAACACTAAAAAAATTTAATTTATAAGGCTATAATTTTTAATTTATTATTTTTAATTAAATTAAATTTATAATTTATAATTTAATATATAATTTTAAGTTAACAACACTAAAAAAATAATTTATAAATATTCAAAAGAGTATTTTACCCTTTTCCATATGTTTATTAAGTAATAACATTTCACACATTAATCTCATGATATACCAATTCCATGAAAACAATCTCACTCTCTCCCTAGAATACAATAATCCCTCGTATGAGGATTAATAATCCGGAGAGAATATTAATTCAAAATAAAAAAAAAATTAAACCAAACAATAAACTATTAATTTGTATAGGCTAATAGTTCAATCCCATAGAATAATCCCTCAAACACAAACATACTCTAAATTTAGCCACATATTTTTCAATATTTTTTAGATGAAAACTTACTAATAAGTCTCTATATTTATATTTTAATAATATATTATTTTCAATTGATAATATAGCTATTTCATTTTTTTGTTTAGAATATATTTTTCAAACTATAATTGTGAAAAGAAAAATCTGGTAAAGATCTTCCTTCATCTCTAGCTACAAATCCTAGCATCCAGATCCAGGCCAATAGTATTGACCCAATACCAAGAACAAAAATTAAGTTTGATCACCACACAAGGTACTTAACCCAAAAAAAAATAAAAAACCACAATTATATATTGCCAAACACTTGGAAGAACCAAAATAATATCCATACACCCTTGAAATACATTTTCACTATTATAAAATATCATTCTTCTAGCCTCAGTAGATTTGCCACCGAAACAACTCACATTTGTCCAACCATCTGCCGATAAACAACCCCACCTTCCACACTAATCGAGCACTTTAACACAGAGTCCATACTGAATATATAACTTAAATCAGCATCTGGACAGGTTTTCCAACGTAGATTTATCTGAAATTACTAGAACATGCTTTGTTTTGTTGTTCACAAGCACCAGTCATTCCTTCCTTCAACGACTTCAAAACTGCTTTGGCAGCCAGTTTTTTGGCTGTCTTCTTATCTGAAGCCGTGGACGTAGACTTGTACACAACACCATTTGCTTCGACCTTTATTGTAATTGAAGCGACACCTTTATCACGAGAGACAGCCTTTTCCATGACAAAATGCTTCTGTGAACATAATTCAGTCAGCTCTCTCACTGGATGAAGCTTAACTGTTTCTGGAGTAATCATGGGCTCCAGAAGGGGCCTTATGCTTCGCAAGACAACCTCCTTGTTGTACCCAGAATCAACGAGAATTGCCCCAGCAAGAGATTCAATGATATCTCCAAGTACCTGTATCATAACATGAATATATCTGATTTCTGTCTTAAATGAGAAGTATAGAAGTTACAACAAAATAAAAATAAAAATAAAATGAAGCCAATCAACATCCCCGTAAACAGCAGTGGATTTGATTTGGAGTTGGCACACATTTAGAAATTTCACATTACCTATTAAAATAAAAAAAAATAAAAAAGGTTGTGCCAAAAGATTAGATACAGTGAACATTTGACTGTTGTAACAAACTGTCCCGTATCAGAACAATGCAGTCCCACCAATTCAAAAACATGATTATTTTTTAGACTATGAAAACAAAGTTACGATCTTTTTGAACATTAAACAAATAGGTTTGATTTATATCAGCAGCACTGGTAGGAAGTCCAAAAACTGCCAAAACGACGTCGTTTTGCTGCCAAAACGACGCAAAACGACGTCGTTTTGGCAGTTTCGAGCCATTTGAGCCACACATTTTGTGGCCCTCAAACATTGTTCTTATATCAGACACACCCTTGAAGAGCATTTGTCAATGCCACTCACTGCAGGCTCTCAGAACATCATTACTGAATTCCATCTCGAAACTAACCATTCACTCTGTTCTTAAACTACTACTGTATCCACTAATAACAATTCAAGTCTATTTCAGAACTTTATTTAACAAAATGCAACACAGAAAAATGATTGTGGCAGAAAGGATAAACAGATTGGCTTGTGACCAATATTGCAGACTAACCTTTGGAAAAGTTGTCTCAGATTCCCATCCAAAAGTTGTGTCCACTGATAATTGCTCAAAATTCTGAACAGTTGCAACTATGTCCTTGTGAAGCGATTGTGAGGCATGGAGAATGTGTTTATGCAGACCAAATTTAACGGCAGATTGAGCGTAACAATCGTTGTTCACAGAAGCTGACCTTAGATCAGTTAATAGCCCAGGTGACATTCCAGGATATTTATGATACAGGTGCATGGTTATGAGAAAGTCCAACACTGAATCCCCGAGGTACTCTAGCCGCTGTGTAACATGGAAATTCAGAAGTCAAAATATCACAAACAAGAATACATAATAAAATACCTCAGAAGCATAAATAGCGATGTCAAACAAAAAGGGATGAGTTTTGATATGATTCTCTTGGTATCTGAACATTAAGACCGGCCAATTTTTTTTTTTTTTATGGAGAAAATCTTCTTGTCAATGTTGACATGGAATAACTTAAAGCTTAGAACCATCAGTTTTAAACATATAAAAATCATAAAATGCAGCCACAATAAAGCATGAGAATGCTTTCAGGTCATAACATCAATAACGTTTTATGTTCAACATAGGTGAAACTACAAAAATCTGACAAACTGAACGAGGCACTAATATAAATGCACAAGTAAAAGAGAGAATGATAAATGAGAGCATGTCGAAGTCAAATCCAAAAAAGCAAAGTGAATGATTGCATGTAATTCCAATTAACAGCGATGATTGCATATATCTATGAACAATATAAAATATTACCTGATAACATCCTGGAATCTCAGGTAGCATGTAAGAACCATGAGTTAGCGCTTCGACTAGGAGAGAAGGATCACGAAATGAATAGTTCAATAAGGATTCAAAATACTTTATATTAACAAGTCTCTCAGCTTGAACTGGGAAGTGCCTCTCATATGGTATATTGACAAAATCCACTTTTATACCAAGCCAATCCATAAATGACAAGGCTGATGCTTCACCACCTGTGCTAAGGAATGCACCAATTAATGCCTCAACTACATCAGCTACTGTCTTACTTTTCATCTTCCTCCTTCCCCTAATATAGATTTTCCTCGTACTAGAAAGCGACTCTTCATCTAATGCATAATCTCCAGATTGATCACCAGGAACGATCCAAGTTTTGGGATCAAAAGGTTCATTACGAATGAATCCCTACAGTGTCAAAAGAAAAAGAAAGTTGCACTCAAACACTGAAATATAGAACACAAACACAATGTCTACTCAGCCCGTCCAAAAAATGGAAAGATCTTAAATTGAATGATTACCGGAAGTTTGCGGTCACATCCAAGCCTTCGTAGTGCAACATTAGAAATTATTCTCTCTCTTTTAATACTGAGAAGACCCTCATGATGAATTTGATAGGTTTTAAATAGTTGTTGACTGGCAGCGTATTTAAGAAAAGAGTCCCCAAGGGTCTCTAGTGATTCCAAATGGAACTTCTCTTGGCATTTTTTTGTTGTAATTGCTTCCAAGACCTACCATAGATGGATGGCGAGTACAAGTACAAAGCAAAATTCAAAAAACATATTCAGCAACATAGACTATTAAAGCAATTCAACTATATGATTTAAGCTCAAAAAATCAACTCTCACTTAATCAAAAGAACTGGCAGCTCCTTGTGGAACAAATAAATAAATGTGAGAGTAATGTCAGGTGACAATATTTGGGTACCATTTGATGTGGCACCATGGCACTAATGACACCATCAGATAGGTCCCAACTTTTATCTAGAAAATATCAATACTAATATTCTGTTGGGCTCATCAGATAATGTGTATGTAAAGTGCCTTGACATATGGTACATAATTGTGGTGCCCAAACGTGGTCGCCACAGCATTACTCTAAATGTAAAGCCACACACTGACAAAGTGTTGGGTACCTTATTGGTTCTATATGTTTCATTAAATGTAGAGAGTCAAAAGCTCAAGAAGGAAAAAAAAAACATCCATTCCTCATTAAACAAACCATAGGCACCAAATTAGAATTCAAAATTTCGTACAACAACAAATGTCACCCAGAGTGTCAAATTAAAGTGCAGAAAATGTTACAGTCAAAACAAAAAATAGAGTGCATACTAGTATTCAAAATTTGCAGCCCTAAGGCCATGTTTGTTTGGGTGGATTAGATTAGCATTCTCATGACTAATAGTCCTAGGACTATAAATTTGTTGGATTATGTATCCTATCTTAACTAATAGTCAAGTTTAAAATAATTAATTCCTACTTCAATTGTTTAACCAAACATCGGATTAATAATTTTATTGGACTATTAGTCCAATCCCAAGGGAAATTCTAACAGTTTCATTAAATGTAGAGAGTCAAAAGCTCAAGAAGGAAAAAAAAAACATCCATTCCTCATTAAACAAACCATAGGCACCAAATTAGAATTCAAAATTTCGTACAACAACAAATGTCACCCAGAGTGTCAAATTAAAGTGCAGAAAATGTCAAAACAAAAAATAGAGTGCATACTAGTATTCAAAATTTGCAGCCCTAATTGTACTATATATTCACATTAACAAAGAATAACAAATTTCCAGTGACAATCTGAAGCAGAGAGATATACCTTGCTGGTTGGAATAACAACATTTTGCATGCAGTGATCCAGATGCATCTTTTTCAAGTTGAGCGCGATCAGCAAACACTCGATCCGATGCATGATGGATGGCACAAATGAGAGAGAATATACGGTGGCAATTGAAATTGGAGACATGAAAACGAAGCAAAGTTCAGGAGGCAATTCAACGTACGCATTTCTTGATTCTACAAAAATGAAACACACTACATTAGTCGTTGATGGAGGACAAATAAATTAATGGATGAGATGCATATGCGCATGAACTCTTATTAAGTGGATGACCTAAATGCTTTACACTGGAAATATTTTCATTTCAAAAGGAATTAAGAAAAAAATATATAAAAAGACTTCAAAGAAAAGGCTAAAACGAAAAAGCAATTTATGTAGAAGCTCCAACAGATGCCAGATTTTGCCAGTCACAATTGAAGGTTTTGTCTTGATATATCATTTACTCTTTCAATTATCAAAAGGGACTACCAGAAAAATTAATTGTCATCCTTTTTTATGCAAAATTGTAAAGGCAAGGGATGAAGATGGTTTACAGCAAAAATGTTTCATTTCAAAGCAACCCAAAATATAGAGGAACCAAATTTCAACATTTGACATCCTTTTTTTTTTTTTAGCATGCTTTGTCAGATTGCGTTATTGCTAGGAGCATGGACACGGACACGGACACGCGACATGACACGACGCGCAACATGCCGACACGCTAATTTTCAATAAATGCAGGACACGACACATGGGGACACTCACAAAATATTCAAATTCATACATTTATTATATGTCATATATATAAATATATCATCCAAAAATAATAAGAAGTGTAATATAACACTCATTTTATAAATTTACATTGTTTTTTCTTTTATTATTGTATCCTACGTTATTTAGTTCAAACTTATAATTAATTTCATGTATGTCTAATTGGTGGATGTGTGTATACGCAATGGGCACATGTGTCCTCTAAGTATCCAAAGACTGTCCGGGCCTAAAAAACTTTGTCAAAAATAGGATACGTTTTGAGGAATGTCCGAAATGTGTCAGGAAGTGTCCAACGAGTGTAAGTGTCACCTTCTTAGAAGTGTCTGTGCCTCTTAGGCTTGGAGTGATGATAAAAGTTCGAATCTAAAAGGAGCCTCTTGTGCAAATAGTACCAAATGCTAGATCAGCATCCAGTATTTTACTTACAGGAACCCATATTAACAAGTCCATGAAGAGATAGGTTATATGAACATATATATATAAAACAATTGCAAGGGAAAAGGTACGTGAGCAACAATTATACCTCTTTCCTTCTTTTGTCTACACCTATGGAGGTAATTTTGCACAGTAAAAATATGTCTCCCGTTGAGCAGTGATTCTCTTCCAAAATGCAAGTCTATCCCATACCTGTAGTTGATATTACAGTAGAATTAATCTTATTTTTCATAACATAATCACTGATTCAAAAGAATAATAGTGAATAAAGAACATTATTTCATTTAACGGTATGGGTAGTACAGGGAATAGATTTTACATACTTGGATTTGTAGTATTGCTTGTAAGTAATACATTTGCCCTCCAGTAGTGAGTTCCCATGCAAATCTAAAGTACCAGCAATGGAGTACACATAGTCATTATGAGGTGTGTATACCAAAGAATTCTCCAACATGCAGCTACATACCAAACCATTCTTTGTACGCACTTGACGACAAGAACTATTGGGAGTAGTATTCATGTGATTGTGCCCGAGAATTTTACTTGGGAACACTACAGAACTAACACAGTTCCAATCAATCGACGGATTTTGATGTGAGCTAGTACATGGGAGCACAAGATAGTCCAGCACTGCTAGATCATTACTTGAATGAAATGCCAGTAACTCCTTCAACTTCTTCAAATTATGATCAAGAAGAACTCTGAAAACAGTGATTTCAAACCTCTGGCACAAAAGAACCTGGAAGCAAAATTACAATAATCAACAAAACCCAACCAACAATTTGATCATCCCATGTTTTTATATGTATTTAATTATTCCATAATATAAAGCTAAAAGTATTTAAGCATATCAACTGTGTACAATACCTGTTCAGAGGTAAGACTAAGTTCTCCAATGTATTCCATTTGCACTTTCAAAGTGCCTCTATCGGTTTCTAATTCACAAGCCAAGTTTTCGTCACTGAACTCGAGCTTGGTTCTCACAGCAAGCACAATAGGATGAAGCGGGATATTATATTCAAAATTTCGCTTCAGCACAATCAAGTAGCGATGGTATGTCCTCACAGAATCATTTGTACAATTATGAACCAATTCAGGTGGGAAGTACTCTACTTGATCATCAACGTAAGGTTCATACCCTACACAAAAATAATACTAATACTAATTAAACAAGGGCAGTAACATGGTATAAAAAGTCAAAGGACTAACAAAAATTAACACTGTTTATATTTACCGGATTCTTGTTCATCGGCTTCTTCCATGAGAATATCTGGCACAAGATTATCAGTTAATGCACCTTTCTGATGAAGCTGCTTGCATGCCTCTAGGCATACAAGTTGCTTGAGCACTTTGATATTACCCTCAACTCTAACGGTTTGTACTGGGCAACTTTTGGGAAAATTTAGCGTGCAAATTTCCAAATCCTTATCAATTTCACAACGAGGAGAAGGTTTAAAATACCTGCAAACAACAAAACCAAATGAATACAATAGGTCATGGTAGAAAAACTAAATACAAGTATCAATATAGAATTAACAATCACAAAGACACTAATAGTACTTTAATAACATGAAAAATAGAGTGCTTGAACAAACCCATCAGAAGGCAATCGTGAGCAATAGAAGTATATCAAAGCCACACTAGAACTTAGAGTCACAACTGCTCCCGTGCTTTGAACACGATAGAGAACCTCATTAAACAATTCACTGTCAAGAGAAGCGCAAGGAAGGGAAGCATGGCGTAATGATTCCTCCCTCATGATGTCTCCACTAGCAATATAGTTTTTCACTCGAGTAAGTGTAGAAGAATCACCACTACAAATTCAACCAAAAAGGAAAAAACATGATCAGCAGCACCTCCACCTATGAAATCGCTGCCTCGTCTATGAAACAGATGAAATAGAGACACTATAAGCAACACACTTCAAGCATCAGCAAATTCCAATTTCTAAGGAGCTTAAAAAAAACACATATATATAGAATGCCAAATACAATTATTTAGACACGAGACATACAGAGATGATAAAAGTCATAAAATCAAGCCCCTCACCTAAAGAACATGATGTTTTTATTGGTGAAAAGGATAAAATAAAACATACCTCCTGACCATTAACAAAAAATCTGAGTTTTGCATACGTGCCCGACCACGGGACTGAATAAAACTACAAACTGTTGCTGATGGATCAAATCTAATAACGAGATTGCAGCTTTGAACATCCAGACCCTCTTCAAGAATTGAGGTTGCTACAATGATGTTCACCTGCAAACATGACTCATGCCCACATACAAGCATGTCCAATTAGTAGCTAATGCAGCATCTTAATTTTGGGGAAACATATTTTGCCAAGCGAAAATACAAAACCTACCGTGCCCTTGCGGAATTCTTCAACAATTTTGTTTTGTTCTTTCCTACTCTGTGACTGAAAACCAGACTGATTTCCTGCAGTATATTTTGTCTTCCAGCCACCCAGTTTTGGAAGCAATTCACTCAATAATTTTTGAAGAACGATAGCTGAGATAACCCTCTCCACAAAAATTATACATCTCAAATTGTTCAAGTCCCTGCATGGAATAACACATTAGAAATATTCTGGAAATAAATTCTAAATGAATGATTCAAGGTATTGCTGACCTAAAGCATAGTATAACATTTCTAAAAACTTCAAGTTGTTGAATGCCATCCCATCATGCACGTAATTTATCATTAATATTGAGGATGTAAAACTAGTAATGTTTTATACTAATTCTTGTCACAGGGATACAAACCTCTTAAATTCAATTTTCAACTTGACCACCCCCACAACATGAGACTCCTGTTAAGTTCCAATATCACTTCATCACGACCACCTAATGTCTATGACATGCATGCATTCTTCTAATTTTTTTTTCAAAGTTCAACCCAACAAAAGAAAATTTCCATTCAAGATTTGTGAAGGTCCATGAGTTTGAAACCAGAAAGAAGGAAGAGGGACTGATTCAAATAAAACAAGTAGAGAGAGAAATTTATCACACAGTAGCCCAAAAGCAGACTCAAACACAATTTACCAAGAAAATTATAAAGAAAAAAAAAAAAAACACCTTCCTCAAGGAATCCCCACCAATCTCATTTAATAACGGTTAACCTAAACAATTATTGACAACATTGATGCAAACAACAGTGACTGATTTCTCATAAACAGTACTGCTGTGATGGCTGTGGACAGGGACTGTTGAAGAATTCAGCAAGTGACATAGTGAAACAGAAGACCATCAGCAACATATCTCCCCACTCACTATTATAAACTAAACAAGATCTCTGTTTGGTGTCCACTTGGTCTTAGACTCTTAAAATACCAAATCAATCTTATAACTTGTCAATTTGGTTTCCACTTGATCAGTATACTCCAAGCACTAGTACCAAGTTAAGACAACCCCACTACACTAGTTTACCATTTCTATATACTGTCGGAAACTATCAGCAACTAATTTTGTTGCATTTTCCTTCTTGCTAAACAGTTAGTACTTCAAATATGGGTGTGGAGCAACTAAGAAACAATGTAGATAAAATAAATGTTGCTAAGATGAAGATGCTACACATCCACCTTAACAAGACTAAAAAAGACAGAGTTAAGAATGAGTATATTCGTGAATGAGTAGAAGTAGTACCGATAGAAGATAAGCTGAGAAAGAATAGATTGCGATGGATTGATCATATACAACGGAAACCAATAGAGGCAAAAGTGAAAAGATGAAAGTGTTAGGGGAAGGACTAGACCTATTTTGATATAGACTAGTGTAGTAAATAGAGATATAAACCTCCTTAATTTGACTAACTAAATGATCGTTGATAGAATCAACTGAAGAAGAAGGATTCATGTAACCGATCCCATTTGATAAGACTTAAAACTCGACTTGATTTGGTTTGTGAAACATTTTCATTATGTTAGAAAAATCAAGATTTTCCAAACATTTGAAATTTTTTCTAGTAAGTACAAGAATTGAAGAACAATTTTGTAATATTTTATAAACTAAACCAAACCAAGCCTTAAGTTCCATCAAATGAGGTCGGCTACATGAATTTTTCTTCTCCACTCAACTCTATCCAAGACCATTTCGTTAATCAAATTAAGGAGATTCATATCTCTAATTACTACACTAGTCCACGTCAATCTAGGTCTACCCCCTAACACTACCATTTACCGTCACTGTATCGCATCTCTTCACTACTGCCTCTGTTAGTTTCCGTTATATATGATCAAACAATCTCAATCTATTCTCTCTCAACTTATCTTCTATCGGTACTACTCTTACCCATTTTCGAATATACTCATTTCTAACTCTGTCTTTTCTAGTCTTGTCACACATCCACCTTAGTATCTTCATCTCAGCAATACTCATCTTATCTATACGTTTCTTAGTTGCCCAACATTCCGTTCCATACAGCATCACTAGTCTAATAGTCGTTCTATAGAACTTTCTTATAGAACTTTCTTTTTAGTCTAATGAGTACTCGTTTATCACACAGTACTCGACATGCACTCCTCCACTTAAGCCACCCCGCTTTAATTCTATGGACCATATCCGCTCCAATTTTCCCAATCGTTGTGATAATCGATCCTAAATAATGAAAAAGTTTACTCTTACACAGTTCTTAGTTTTCAATCTTCACTTCTTCTCTGCTTCCATTGCGACTGTTACTAAAATTACACTCCATATACTCTGTCTTAGTTCTGCTTATCCTAAATCCTTTAAATTCAAGTATTTTTCTCCAAATCTCCAATTTAGTGGCACATCATCCTAAATATTGCACGTCAACTCACCCATAACTAAAGCGAAAAGATAAGGATTTAAAATTGATCCTTGGTGTAACCCTACAGTAATTGAAAATTCACTCGTCTCTCCAGCAAGCGATCTAATAGTGATCATTACACCTTCATACATATCCCTAATCACATCAATGTAAACTTCTGTCACCCCTTTTTTCTCTAACATCCACTCAATGATATCTCAAGACACTATATGCTTTCTCAAGATCGATAAAAACTATATGAATGTCTCTTTTCTTTTCTCTATACTTTTCTATTACTCTCCTCAAAAGATAGATCGCTTCCATTGTTAACCTACCAGGCATAAATCCAAATTTTGTAACATTTTATCATACTTGAAAATCTTTTTTAGATCTTATTCAGAGCATGAGCATGATTTCAAGAGTACACAACAAACTAGAGAAATTTTATAAAGAAAACTTTGATCATGCAAGATCCACTGACCTGTAATCAAGAAGAGATTCAATGAGACAAATGACCTTTGAAGATATATACCCAGCATCCATATTGGCATTTATGTCATCACCAATAGACCAATGTGGACCTATATGAAACAAGAAAAATAAATAAATTACAGAAGAAAGAAAAATTCAAGTAAACAAGCAAGAAGGAATGTGGTTTAGACCAAAATAGAAGAATTATATCACTAGTTGGAGTTAGTACCAGATGGTACATAATTGGAGAAAACCTTAAACGCATCCAAACTGAAATCCCTTACAACCGTCTCACTGCACACATCCAATTTCCCCCATGAGAAGATATCATTTTCTTCACATGACAAGGACTCAGCCGCCTATCACGAAACACAACTTTGTTGGTGTCCAATTGTCTAATGTACCATTTTCAACGACAAGCAACCAGAACTAGAGCAAATGCATACCTTCAAAGCCAACCAAACACCAAGCTCATTCAAACAAAACAGAAAGGATGAAAATAGCTTGGATAATTTTTTCATTGCATTATCCATTGCATGCTCTTCGAGATTTGATGCTTTGAGAGTGAACTCATGCTGACAACAAAAAAAAAAGAAGCATTTATGGTCATTACTCAAAAACATAGAAAACAAAAACAATTTATTCCTCAATATTCTCCCAAAAAAAAATGAATTTAATTGACAGCACAAACACAAAGCAAGTATTAGTATTGAAGTTCATGCAAACGCGCATTGGCAACAAGCAATAAAATGTCAATCATGGAATGAAAAATCATAGAACATAGAAAAAGACATTCATCAATGCATTGCATACTGGAAACATGCAATTGTAAGTTCCAAAACATGGATCATGGATATATCTTCATAACCTATGCATGAAACCACGCCCCTATAATTCTTGCCTACCTCAAACTCCACAATCAGATTTCATTCTCAAGAGTTTGAGAACTGCATCGAACCCTTGCAATTATCAAGCAAAGTAGTAATAGAAGAGGGAGGGGGACTTTGATAAAGCCAAGCAAGTGTACGAATTCACTTAAATCTACCTCCATTCATCAGGCAAATGAAATCAAGACAGGATATGAATGCAGTAAAACAACATATTGGCTCAAAGAGACAAACATACCTTTTCTTTCAAACATGTTAAATCATGCACCAAATGCTCAAATATTGCATAAGGGATCTCCACATGTTTGTAGATCTTCAGCTTTGGGGTCGAAAATGGAATGTACTTGGCTAACACAGATTCGCTAACAACCGTGTACACCTTCACCAAAAAGAAAGCAAATAACGGTAATAACTATCTATGGTAATATATATCCAAGTATTACAGAAACGATCAGAATGTGTGAAAGTAAAGATTATTCTTTAAAAAAACCTACCAAGCAAAAAATAAGTATTTTATGAGACAATATCATCAGTCAATTTGCACAATAGGATCATCAATCCGTGCAAGCAGCCTAAGTATTTTATTAGACAATACCATATGAAAATAGCATTTACAAAAAATTATTGCCAAAAAACATGTCAAGCAGTAAGTTTGTTGATTCTTTTGAACAAAAACTCAAGCGTGAATAACAAGCTTGGGGATACACATGCATAAATTTACTTATTTACAACCATCTGCAGTCTACACCAAAAGGAATCAATAAAATGTAAATTGATCCCCCTTTGATTGCTCCCAAGGTTAAGCATATATATATGCCATCAAGTGGAAATAAAGGTGGCTTAAATTACCAAAATAAGCCTAAACACTTCACCATCATGGTAGTTACCTAACTACTTATTAACAGTCAGCTGCAAGGAATAACATGCAATAAGGAATGATAACTAAATGTATGCAAGGGGAATTGTACCCATTGACAATTGGGATAAAAACCCCATCCATTACTATAACTATTAGGAACATACAAGATGTGAACAGCATCATATCAATATGACAATATTAAAATGTAAAGAAAAATAAATCAAGTTAATAACATTAATAACAAACCTTTGAATTCATAAGATTCTCAAGTTCAAGAATCTGTTTCCAGTAGGTTGATCCCGAGCTTGAACCTATATCAAAAATTTTATTAATAAAATGGTTGGTAAGCACAGCTTTTCCAAATAACTGGGTCAACCAAATGGAATTAGAAACAACTCACTGCAAACAATTGAATTATACAATCTAATCTAGACATTAATTCTTTGCATACCTTTAGCCTTTATAGGGGAAGCAGTCATTCCAAATATCCTAGGAAGCTGGGAACTGTTAGATCGCAACTGATAGTGATAGAACTCCTGCAAATGCATTAGAATCCTATAAGTGACAAACTCACAAACAAACGTAACAGAAGTAGTTGAACTTTTTTCGGGAAATTTGAAAACCACCAAAATATAGATAAAAATTAAATAAAAAACATGTACAAACATTTGGGAAATTTGAAAACCACATAAATATTGAAAGTTATGCTTTCAAACTCCTAAAAACATTAGAACATAACACTTGGGAGTGGTACATATCATTGAAGAACAGTGTAAAAACAACTCACCGTCATAATGCAAACATAGGGATGTCTACCTCTCGCGTTGTGGCATTCATCAAATATTAGAACCTTTATCATGTCTAATCTTAAAAAGCTATGCCTCAAAGCATTGAGCAAGATCATGGGTGTCATTACAAGCACCTGAAACATAAAAGCTACAGGTCAGCGTGAATTCAGCACACCATAAGCACCTGATAGATTACAGCAAAGGCACATGATTACACAGAATAAAAATACATCAAAATTAATGGCATATCTCAGTAAAAGAACAGCACCGCTACATCCATCAAGCTAAACAAATTCGCCAGAATGAGTGGTGAATTCAAGCTAAACAAATTCGGTGGATGAATCATTAATCTTAAAAGAAATGTGTATATATATATAGAGAGAGAGAGAGAGGAACAAACACCTCATGGTTGTCCTGTTGTTCCTTCCAGGTTGCACCATCCCAGTAATCCACTCCCATTTCTCCCCAGTACATTCCCACTTCCAAGTCAGTGTACATTTTGATAGCTTCTGCTTGCTAAGGATTATTGATTAACAAAAAATAACAAAGATCAAAACGTAGAAGTTGTTGATGTTTTTCATTCAAGAACAACAAGAATTCAAAAAAAAAAAAAAAATTTAAAAATATATAAATATATATATATAGGAAAAGGTAAAAGAAAAGCATAATAGATCATGATTTCACATACTTGAGTAACCAAAACAACATTGGGGACCAAGAAAACCGCAATGTAAGGCGAAGGCTTTCGCAGAAGGTAGGCGTAGCTACGCAGAAGCATGATCGCAATCAAGGTCTTGCCAGAACCAGTTTCGAGAAACACAATCGTGTTCTGCTTGATTGCTTTGTCCAGTGCTTCAATTTGGTAACTGCCAAAAACAGAGTGATCAAATTCAATTTTTTGAGAAGGAAAAACAAAAAACAAGAAAACTAAGTAAGTAACCCATTGATGACCGCACAGCACAGATTGATCTGTATAAAAACAAGAATTTGAAGTCGATTACCTTCTTGCAAAAGGGAGAGGATCAGTAGACATTTGTTGGGTTCCACTCATCGTCCTTTCAACTAGTTCCATTCCTGAATAATAACAACTTTCAATTCAGTTTTCAGATAGAGAATTAGGGGGAAACAAGAATCAAACACACACAAGACACACATTCACAGAGAACGAACATGTATCAACACAAATTAATCAAACAACTAAGCCCCATTGCAGAGGAAGAGAAAAAGTTGATCCAAAACCAAATCAATACAGATTAGATTAGATTAAGATTGGATTAAAGTAGGAGAAATGGGTATATGAACTCACTGAGAAGGAGAGCCCAGAGAGTAACGAAGGCGAGAGAGAGAGAGAGAGAGCAGCAGTAGCAGTAGCAGTAGCGGCAGCGGCAGCAGAGGAGCAGCAGAGAACACTCAAAACGATCGATCGTCTGTGGTTTTCTCTCTGTGTGATTGCTAGCATTTTATGCTGATATGCGTGTATGTATGTATGTATGTATGTATGTATACCTACAGTCCCTCCGTGTGTGCTCGCAGCCTATTCCGCTCACTACCTAGTACCTACCCATAATTTTTACCTCAATTTTATTCGAAATATCAATAGGTGACATAATTTATTAATTCAATTTCAATTCCATATTTATTCTGGTCAAAAAAATTTTCCATATTTATTCTGGTCAAAAAATTTATCACATTTATGAATAATTAATAAGTTTACTCATTCCCCAAGTTCTGATGATCCTTTCATATTTCTAACCAATAATCCACTCAAGTCATGAATTTCATTAAAATTTATCAATTATGAATGTGTCTATTATAGTTTCTTATTTATAAAAATAAATAAATAAATAAACACAAATAATGAATTTGTCTAATATAATTGTTCACCTATAATTGTTCACCTAGACTCCTATTATAAATTTATTTAGGCTTCATTTGAAAAGTTCAACTTGGAACTTTTTTTTAGTTATTTTAGTCACAAAAAATAAAATAGACTTTTTAATTCAATAAGACAAAATATTACATCTAATCCATAATTATTACATTCTTTCTCTTCCAAAAAACTCAAAAAAACTAAAAAGTCAAAAGCCCTTCCCAAACCAGACTTTTAAATCCCAAGTTAAAATAATCAAAAAATCAATCAACTTCCCAAACAAAGCCTTAAAATGAAGTCCTCTTTTGCCCAAAAAAAAAAAAAAAAACCTCTTTTCTTGAATTTTTGTTTTTAATTTTTTTTTTTTCAAAATTATATCAAAACTTTTTACTCTTTTGCTTCGTCTTGTCAAGATATCCTTTCATATTTCCAACCAATAATCTAGTCAAGTCATGAATTTTATTAAAATTTATCAATTATGGATGTGTCTATTCTCTTATAAAATTTATCAATTATGGATGTGACTATTCTCTTGTGACTATTCTCTTATTTATCAAAATATAAATAAATAAATAAACACATAAATAATAAATGTGTCTGGTATAATTGTTCACCTAGACTCCTATTATAAATTTATTTAAAATGAAATCCTCTTTTGTCAAAAAAAAAAAAAACCCTCCTTTTTTTGAATTTTTGTTTGGGCAAATTACATATACCTCCCTCGAGATTTAGCTAAATTACAGATACCCCCTGAGGTTTCAGAAATTACATCCCGCCCTCTGAGATTTGTATTTTCATAACAATTTGCCCCCTGAGATTTATATTTCATAACAAATTACCCCCTAATTTCTTATGCAAATATAGCATTCAGGGGGGAATTCGTAATTTCTCAAACCTCAGGGGGTATCTGTAATTTAGCCAAACCTCGAGGAGGGTATATGTAATTTGCCCTTTTTGTTTTTAATGATTTTTTTTTTAAAATTATATCAAAACTTTTTTCGTTTTTGGTTCATCTTGTCAAGATGAATCTAAAAAGTATATATATATTTTTTGAAAATTTTCAAAAATTTGAAAAAATCAAAATAAGCAAAACAAAGTTGCTTATTTTTTTATTTTTGTAGAATAAAAAATTATAATTTTTCGCTTTGACTTATTAAACTAAATAAAAACCTACAACTTTTTGAAAAAATTTTAAAAAAATTACTAAAAATAAAAATAAATTAAAAATGCACTTCCCAAAACACTCCCAAACACTTGGCCTACTGTTGCATGCTTGGCCACCAAGAAACTTTGCAGAAGAAAAAAAAAAAAAAGACAAAGGATATTTGATTGAAAAAGACGCGCACAAACAACATAATGAAACTAAAATAGTAATAAAATTAAAATTAAAAGGTTGAGAAAGTTACACTCTTCGATCTCTCTCCCTCTCATGCAAAATTTATAATTAGGTCAAGTTTGGCTAAACTAAAAAAGTGTACTTATTTCATCTTTTTATTTTTTTTAAGTCACATCAATCAACATCTCCTCTCTACTTTTTCTACACATAATACAAGAAAAGTCAAAAAGTGCACTTATTTAGTCTTCCCAAACTTGGTCTAAGGGTGTAAAAATATATTTAGGCTCCGTTTGGTAAGAGTTTTTTTTGTTGTTTTAGTTATAAAAGACAAAATAAATTATTTTAGTCACTACAAACAAAACATCTCATCTAATTCATAATCATTACACTCTTCTCTCACAAAAAAAACTTAAAAAATCAAAAAATTATTTCCAAACCAAACTTTTTAGCCTAGGTTAAAATAGTTCAAAAAGTCAAAAAGCCAACTCACTTCCCAAACAGAGGTTCAGAACTATAAATTTTTTAATGATATTTTTTAAATATTTGAAGGTCTAATAATAACTCACATCACTTAAACAACCAAACATTATTTAAAATAGAATAATATTATCAATTAGTGTATCAATTAATGATGTGATATAATTTTAAAAAAATTTGATATTTGTAATGTGATTAATAAGTGAAGTCAATAATAATACCATAATTAATATTAATATATTAATTGATATATATAATATCACGGCTTAAAATATAATAAAATATTCTTAAATTATAACTCACACCAATGAACACGAAGGCTTGACCAAGGTGCATTAAACCAAGTTGCATTGATTATATTATTGCATTGTTACTGCTGTGGATCATTAATTTGGAAATACAAATAAACTTTGGGCGTCACGTCAGGTTCAAATTCAAAAACTAGCTTGCTGATGTGACCATACATGAATTTACTGCATTTTACTGTCGAAAGAGTAATTTGTGAGGAAAGAGATAAGTTGGGAATCATTAAAAAAATTTCATGTGAATGATCATAAAAAATTATGAATTTTGGATTATTTTTGTTAAGATGTGATGTTTTATTTTAAGTATAATTTAAAGGTCATAAAATTTTTATAATTATTTTTGTGAAAGATTTTTTTATGATACTTAACATTGTTATTAAGAAAAATACATTTCTATCTAATTCATCAAAAAAAATTACATAATTATAAAAAAAATTATGATTTTAATTACTATTAATATTTATAACATTTCTAATTTATAATTAATTTTTTAAAAATCACTTATTTGATTGTTTCTCGTAATTTTATGTGCAAAGAGAGTATGAAAAGAAAATAACATGTACTAAGGCTAGGTTTGGCATAATCTATATAATCCATCTTTTTATCTTTTTATCTTTTTTCTATCACAGACGTGTTCTCTTTGAGTTAAGTTTTGCGTAAGCAATTGTAGCATTAACCTTAGGATGGAACAGACATATTCAGACTCTATGCGGTATTTTGATTTGGTGAGATAAGGTTGGGTTTAGATAAGACATTCAGGAGAATAAAATTTTTTTGTTTGAAGAGATAAGATTGGATTCAAGATGATAAGACATTTTTCTTTTGGTCGTCCTTTTTGAGATCCATTGACGGCGTTGTGCAATATATAATCTTTGCGGATATATCCATGGAAAGTTCTGCAAAGCAGCAAAATGAGGAGTTTCGAATAGTCCAGTGTTCAGTTCCAGCGGTTGGGAGGATAGGTCTCTTTGGATGACTCTAGTGACCTTGATTTAACTGTTGCAACTAACTGTTAAATGTTACTAACCAACTGTTACTTATCGTTATTGTTTATGATTGTGCATTGTTGTAATTGTTTGTATTTCTCTATAGTTCTTTATCTGTGTAAATTATATGTTGTGCCTCTACTTGTTCGTATTATCCAAGGGTTGCAGAGGGTTGGGGTGTGCGTGTGTTCTTATTGGACTTCGCAATGAATGGCTTTTGCCATAGCATCCGATGACAGGTTTTGAAGAATTCACTGACGAAGAAGATTTTGTGAAAGAGTTCGGGAAGTTGCGACAAGCGTGAACTGATGTCGGATTTTCCATCTTACTATTGCAATTTTATTTAGGACAACGTTGTCTGTAGTCTATTAAACTCTGACATATTATTATTTATTCTTGAGTGTATAACCTTAGCAAAATTCTATATTTCTTTATTATTATATTTCCTAATGTTCCTGATTTTTGAGACGTCACAACATGTGTCAAAGAGTGAAAGGAATGAGGCTAAATTAATGAGGGTAGATTCGTCATTTCATATCTCAAAAACAAAAGTGGAATTTTGATGATGGCTTATTATTTATTTATTTTTTAAACTTTTGGAGAAAAGCTTCTTATTTTGAGGGTTCCAAACACCCACCAAGAGGCTATTTGGGAACAAAGTAAAAAGGCACTTCTTTTATCTGATTTTTTTTTTTAGTGATTTATTTTTTAAAAGAATTATATCAATATTTTAATTTTCATGTTTATCTTGTGTAAAAGTACATTTTTTTCTGAAAAACTTCACCCAAAACATGGCAAACCAATATAAAAGTACGTTTTTTTTTTTACTTATTTTTGTCTTTTTTGAAAATTTTCATCTTTTTAAAAAAAAAAAATCAGTTTGCCTCGTCAAATAAAATCTAAATGCCTAAAGTTTTTTGAATTTTTTTTAAAAAAAATTACTAAAAATAAAATAAATTAAAAATGCACTTCCCAAAACACCCCAAACACTTGGCCTACTGTTGCATGCTTGGCCACCAAGAAACTTTGCAAGAAAAAAAAAAAAAAACAAGGAAACTAATTATATTATGTGATTGAAAAAGACGCGCACAAACAACATAATGAAACTAAAATAGTAATAAAATTAAAATTAAAAGGTTGAGAAAGTTACACTCTTCGATCTCTCTCCCTCTCATGCAAAATTTATAATTATTATATAAGGGTGTAAAAATATATTTAGGCTCCGTTTGGCAAGAATTTTTTTTGTTATTTTAGTTACAAAAGATAAAATAAATTATTTTAGTCATAACAAACAAAATATCACATTCAATTTATAATCATTACACTCTTCTCTCACAAAAAAAAATTAAAAAAGTCAAAAAATCATTCCCAAACCAAATTTTTTAGCCTAGGCTAAAATAGTCCAAAAAGTCAACCCACTCCCCAAACGAAGGCTTAGAGCTATAAATTTTTTAATGATATTTTAAAAATATTTGAAGGTCTAATAATAACTCATATCACTGAAACAACCAAACATTATTTAAAATAGAATAACATT